TCTTGATGTGGCGGTGCAGGGTATTCGAAGTGCTAAAATAATAGCCAACACTGCGACCAGCACAGCAAGGGTTAAGCCAATTGTAAGTGACATCACGGGCGAAAATAATAGCTCTGCACGAAGGTTATGGGCTGAAAGTTGACAAAAATATAGGTTTCTAGATCTAAACTGTTTAAACAGTATAGAAAGGACTCACTTTGTTCCGAGGTTAGTTGTTTTTCCGGCATTCGCAGCATGGCCGCATTGACTACTGCTGGATCAGATCGACCTTTCGTGTTGAATGCGTAGATATTTAACCTATAAATACTTCCCGGACTTAATCCCGGCACCGTAAACTTAGGAATAGTCGATGTAATGTTGGCTTTGATTTCCTGAAAAAGAAAATAATTTTTAATTACTAAATTTAAATCAATTTAAGCAGCAGTAGTTACACTTACTTGTGTGTACGAGTCAAGGAGTTCCAGGTTAAAATTTTGGGGCAAACCGCCGTTGAAACCATCACTACAAGTCACCGTTAAGGATGTCATAGATATATTGTTTACCGTACAATTATGTACTTTTTCCGGTCGCCCTGAAGATACAAATTAAATACAAGTTTATTTCACTGCTAATAAAGAATCGAAGTTCTAAACAATACGCACCGGCAGCTATAATATGGAAGACACATGGTATTCGCTGTTTACCAATTTTGTTTGACGCCAAACACAAAAGGGTTCCATAATCCAATTCTGTTATGGGAGTGTATGTAACAATGGATGTGGTGCCTTAAACATAAAAAAAAAAACAATTAATATCTCATTTATAAACTTGGCTAGTAATATGATATCACTTACCCGAGCGCATAATATGATTTGTGGCCACATCGATGCTTTCGGCAGAATTATTAAATGTCCAACTAAATTCAACCTCTCGCGGATTCGCATCCACGGTGCACATGACCTTTGCATCCTCCTGTTTTGCTATCCCGTACACTTTCTTCTGACTCTGTGCACACGTGGGGGCGTCTATAAAACACGAACATAAAGAACATGCCATAAAAAGATTAATTATCTCTTAAAGTCAAAAGGAAAGTGCAAGAAATAACGTTAACGCCGTTATGATGCTGTTTTTATTTAATTTTGAAATTTGATTGTAATTTTTTATCAGGATAAAAATAAATATGTCAGTGAAAATAAAATTATATATTTTCTAGCAATTCTCTAGAACCTGGAAAATTACGGATATCACACCTCATTGAGCCAATTCACTTACATAGGATATTAAGAGGAAAAGGAGCACTGATTCCCTCTCCTTCGGCATTAAAACCGACACAAGAATAGTTTCCGGCAGTGGCCCTCGTTACACCTTGTAGAACTAAGGAGTGGTTACTTATGATGACGCCTTGTGAAATGTTGTGCGACAGAGGTTGTTCCTGAAAGTATTTATAAAACTTTAAACTTAATAACCTTTTAAAGGATTCCCTGAAACTCACGTTATGACGCCATTCGATGCGAAAAACATTTGGATGAGCCACAACCAGACAATCGAAGTACACGTCTGTACCTTCCCGCAAAGTACTGGGATCTAGAGATGTTCCCAGACGAACATATGCTTCAGGGACATCTGAAAGCCAGGCATATGTTAGCTTAAATTAATAACACACTCAATTAAAAACCTACATTGTATGTCCAGTTTCCAGCCATCTTCCAAAGGTTCCGAGGGTACAGCATGGTTGTAGGCCTTGCATGATAAATATTTCCCCTCATCTGATTTACTTAGACTGATTGAGAGAGTGCTCGTTGTCTGGTTTCCATCGCTTGAAGTCTATAAAACAGTTTCGCATAAGGGTATAAACTATTCTTGGCTGTTAATTATAGCAGGATACGAAATCTTACAGTTTCAGTGGTCTTTTCCAGCCGTATGCCATTTTGCCACCAAGTAATTACGGCAGGCGGTCTGGAGCCAGCACTTTGGCACAGTAGATCGTATCTTCGTCCCGCAGACAAAGGCTGATGTGCCCCTAATAGTCGAATGTTTAAAGGGGCAACTAAAAATTCAAGAAAATGTTAGCATATCGCTTTTGTACAACTCTTACAAATTTATTTTGTTATTTTAGGGTAAAATATATTTAAAAATCTTACAGTTCATATCAATTTGAACTACTGCTTCGACGATGGGTGCCCTGGGATGACTTAATGCTCGGCAGGTGAGCCGGGAGTTAAGATCCTCTCGACCCAGAGATGGAAGTGTGATTTCGCACTCGATTATTTTCCCTCCTGCCAAGTGAGCTAATTCACATGGAATTTCTAGACCATCTCGATACCAACTGATAGTGGGAGTTGGGTAGCCTAAATATTTTAAGTAAATACATATAATTTAGTAACCATTGCTTGTCTTAAATGTGTATTTATAACTGGCCCCATAATCACATACCTCCAATTACTTGACATTTCAATGATACAATGTCGCCTTCGCTGTATGGTCCCACCACCGTAGAACGCTCAACATTGGAGCTGTCTCGAATAATAACTTGTTTTGGTGGAGCTAAGAAAAATATAGGGATATCAATTATTATCCTTGAAAGGATTTTCTGCGAACCTATCTAACGGGTAATAATATCTTTGAAGTACAACTATATTGGCTGTGTAAAATCTTGCAAAATCAATTACTCACATATGACATTGAGCCTAATGCGGCTATTTATAGTCTGTGCTTTCAGGAAGTCGACTCGGCATCTATAAGTTCCGGAGTCGGATGCTTGCGTATTTTGAATTGACAATTTGCCTGGTTCCTTGTCAAATATAAAATAAGCTCTATCCCCGAAAACAGACTCGTCAGACCATCTTTTTGGTGCTTTGGACACTCCCGCTCGAATGTCGATGCTAAATGGATAAGATGTTTTTGTAATAATGATATTTAATTAAGAATAACCAATAAACTTATGATAACGCTATAGTTATTTTCCACTTATTTACCTGTATATGGGAGTACCTTTATCATCTCGGTACCATAAAACCAACACAGGTTCATCACCATCATATGTTGTTACATTGCATGGAAGGTAAATATTTTCACCAACCAGAGATTCGATTTGGTGAACTGGTACTGGAAACGTGAAATAAAAACATTTGAATGTTTTTAACTTTTAATTACTTAAATATCTTTACAATCCCTTAATTTGTTTAAAACTTAACAGTCAAGATTTGAAACACTATTGATTAACTTATATTTTAGCCGGTTCAATAAACATCGCTAACACACCTTATTTAGACAAGAGTAAAAATGATTAGAGCCTTTAATTTTAACTTACCATCCTTACTTCCGTTGCTGGTTTCTATAAGTTGCAGTGCTAACATAAATAGCAGCAATAACTCCATGTTGTATATTTTTTGAGTAGCAGTAGTTAGTTGCTAATTACATTTATCTTACGACTTTCATAGTCCACTATTCCACTTTTTCGGATTGGTATGTTTAATTGAGTAAGAAGTTACATTTTATCCTCTGAATTTTCACGGAAGATGAGCACACCAACACTCGCGTATGAACATGAACACTCAATTACACATCTACACGGGATATAACATTGTATGTATAACACATAGGTTTATATATTTTGCAGTAGTTGCTTTTACCTAAGTTTATGTGTAATATTTTTGAGTATAGTCGATAGGATCGTATTTCACTGGACTCACTGAAAACTGGTAAATTGAATATAGCAGACTCTCTGAACGGTCACGGTTTTGATTTTATTTAATGAACGAGTATGTATGCGCGTATGTCTTTTCCTATGCACTTGTATATGTTTGCCAAAATTCCAGGATACACTTTACTATTGCTTATTTTCATATGCGCACGTTCGCAGGATTTGCTTTGGGAATTCCGGTTACACATGAATCAAGTGTTTTCTTCGATTGTAAATGGAGTGATTTATTTTAGTAATAACCAAGATGGAAAATAACGAACACTGGCTGAAAGTTATATTACTTTTCTAGCCGCGATGCGAAACTAACACGTCGAAATTCCATCGCACTACACCTGCAAACCTGGGCTAAAAAGCTTGTCGGCGGGCGCATGCGTTTCGAAGGAAGCTTTTGATGTAAACATTGCAACTATGACCTTTGTACATGTGTATGTACGTGCATCCGCTTGCCTCCTTCAATATAATCGTCCTTTTCTTGGACCAATTATGAGTGGTAATTTGTCGGCTTCACTTAGAATCGGAATCTGAATCCATTTATGTCACCTTATCTTCAGGGGTTCTTAAGTTAGTTTATGCACCCACTTCACATCCTTTATAATCCTTGTCGAGTGTATTCTATTTTAAAAACAAGCTCTAAAGCCACGGAGGCGTGCAGGTCCGACCTTATAATGTACGCGAAAGTACATATACAGTGAAAGCTCTCCGGGCGGACAGCTGCATCAGTTCTCTCGACTCCTCTCGCTCAGATGAACGTCTTATCCTTTTTGCCGGACAAAGAAACTAAAACCCCCGAAGTCCGCCCAATGTATCTAGTTTCATTTCACCTACGAGTACAGATATCTCAAAGTTCTTGGGCGGAGGATAGGTTAAAAGGGGGTGATAGTTGAAGTGGACTTGAAAGATGTCCTATATCATAACCGTACAAGTACAGATATCTCAAATATCATAACCGTTACAATTATTCAAAAATCCTTGAAGATTTAAAATACCTTTTTTTAAATGAATGCGTCTTTTTCTATTTGGAAACACAAAAAAATGTTAGAAGCTCGACAATCATGTGACTCTTACATTAATCTTACACTAATCTTTTAACATTTTAAAATTATATTTAAAGAATTTAATTTAAGATTTTATATTTATAACTACAATTAAGGTTTAATCTATAAATCTTACTTTAAAGCTATAAATGTAATCAAAATTAGGACTCTTAAAAAACATTAATAAAACGGTTAAAACATCGATACCATTGCATAAAAATACCGTAAAGACAATCGATGTTGCCGGCCGAATTACTATCGATAGTGCCATCGATGTTTTGACATTAGCTGTGTATTCCACCAATCGTTATCGCTCATTCTTCACACTCTTGTTTTTTACTTAATGAATTCGCTTTAAATAAGATATTTAACATAAGTAAAAGCTAACTGGTACGTGGGAATAATGGTGAACGACGCTGGTCTATCGACTGTGGACGACTTGGAGAAAAAACTGAACTCGGCCAAGCAGTCGCTGGTGATCCTAAATGAAAACATTCGCCGCATTGCTGGTCGCGTCCCCAAAGATTCCCAGCAGAGGTGAGGTTTTGGACTAGCAGTCTGGAGTTCAATTAATGGCAATCCCACTGGCTTTCAGATCGGAGAAGTTCAAGTACACCCACGATGGCAAGAAGAACGACCACAACGGCGAGCGACCTTTTCCCCGGAACGGACCAGGTGGGGTCTTCAAAGACAAGCGACGGATGTACGAGAGCAAGAACCCGATGCCCCGCTTTCCCATCGAGGAGAACGACGGTCGGCCGCCACGGATCAACTCCCGGGTCATCAGGGAGATGCCCACCAAAAAGGAGGTGGTCGAGGCGCAGGGAACAGACTCCGAGTCGAGGGCGCGGAATCGCCGGATGTTCGGATCGCTGCTGGGAACCCTGCAGAAGTTTTGCCAGGAGGAGTCGCGACTGAAGAGCAAGGAGGACAAGAAGGCAGAGATCGACAGGAAGGTGGAAAAGCAGGAACTGCAGGAGAGAGCCTTGCTGAGGAAACAGCGAGAAACGCTATATTTGGACAGGAAAAAGAAGCAATTCGAGATCCGCAGATTGGAGTACAAAATGGCCAGAATGAGGGACTTCAAGGCCTGGGAAGCAACCATGTCGTATGCGAAGAATCACATTAGAACCAAAACGAAACCACACCTGTTCTTCCGGCCCAAACAGCATTCCGCTCGAACGGAAAAGCTTTTGAGTAAAAGCAAAAGCGAGGCTGATGTCTTCATAGAATGCAGACGGGAAGAATTAGAAGTCGAGCTGAAAAACTTGGAGAGCATGAATTTTGGGAAGATCGACGACGATAATGTAATGGACGAAAGCTTCTATGAAGAGCCTGACGACGAAGATCCGATGGATAAGAGTAAGTAAACTCAAGTTTACCAGGAAGCATTTAAAAAGATCGTACCGCTTCGTAGAATAATGAGGGAAAATTTTCTATCCAATTCAAAGAGCCTTTAAAAAAAATGTACTATTTATCTTTTAATAACTTTCGGTCAAACTCCAGTAAATTTTAAACGGATTGATAATGTCAGTTTTTGACATACACAAAATATAAACACGTAGCTTAAAATATTTACTTTTATAAAAGTCATGTTCATATTTTATTTAATATTCGAATTCTATTTTTATTGCAGCTTCATTATATGGTAAATGAAGTGCGTGAAAATATATGATGCTATTTCTAGGAATAAAGGATTAAAACTAATTCAATTTACTAAATTAAATGCCAAAAAGATTGTTTTACTTCAGCAAATCGAAGGGAATTCAAAAACATAAAAGTCAAACCTTAATTAAATGCTACAGGTGAAAATTTCCAAGCAGCCTTGCCGTTATTTATCTACCAGAACTAAATAGCATAACTAAATGTGTTTAATGCAGCCATTCTAGATTTGTATTGCTCCAATATAACATAATCTCAAATTGTAAATAAAAAAACCATTGTCAGTTTTTTTTTTATCGCTTCTAAAATGCTTGAAGTGCGGATATTAATATTCTTTATACGTAAATTTAGCAAGAACTTCTAATAGTTTTTCCAATTTATACAACGAAAAATAAATAAAGTTGATATGTATATTAGTTGAATGCCAGAAAACATTTTAAGCCACTAAAAAAAATTTGAATGTTATGAATGTAAATTTTATTGGCATTGCGGTATTTTGAATAGGAAGCAGAACTGTTTCATTGGTCCATAAAAAGTATGATTAATGTTTTTCTATTTGGATGCACTCTGAAGACTTTGGTATTGAAAGCTTTGGGTGAGCTACTTGGGCTAAGATGACCGCTCACTGGTCCGTCTCTCCGTTAATGCTTTGCAGAATCCAATCGGAGAAGCTACTGACCAGGGTGTAGACCCCCGGAATGGTGGTCACGCCGCACAGCGTGGGTCCAAAGGCCACGATGCCGATGAGCGTGTGGCGTCCACGTGTCCCTAGCAAACCGGAGGTTCCGTCGTCCATGAAGGGGCCACCGCTATCGCCGCGGCACACGTCATTCATGGGCATTCCCTGGGCGCACAGATGACTCGGTGTGATCACAATGGGCTGCTGGAAGTTCTCGCTGAGACTAGCATATGCGATGGCGCAGGTGGTGGTGTTTACTATAGGTAAACGGATGAAGCGCACACCGGAGGAGGAGTTGGAAGAGTTTATTGGGCCATTGTCTGCAAAGATATATTTAAAAAAACCTAGTAAGCGCTGATTTCGAATTAATTCGCTCTAATAGTCAGTTGAAAAGTTCAGCAGACCAGATAATCTTCGTAAAAAAAAATTGTTTCGAGACTCACTTTCCGGATTTCCTGTACTCCAACCGGCAGCAACTCCCGTTTGTCCTATCAACCTCATTCCGAGGGTAGTAGACCCGTTCAAGGGTAAGCATATGGGTGTGAAGAGTCCTGGGAAGTAAAGGGGTATAAAGCAGCGGTCGGTACACTCATACAATGACATTTTGTTTTAGATTTGTGTGAGTAAATTGCACGGGGCAGCTCATTAGTGTGTGTGTGCAGACCGCTGTTCTACAGTGTTCGTGAGAGGCAGAGGATGGGCAGAACAATTCCCTATGCTCACTTAATAGGGCGCTGCCAACCTCTGGTATAAAGAGTAACCCTTCAGTTGTCAAAAGAGTAGATAAACTTACCATTAGTGCTATTGATTCTTAGAAGGGCAATATCGTTTGAGTATCTCGGCTGATCGTAGCTAGGATGCACCATAACCCTCTCGATGGCAAAGGTGTTTGATCCACCGTCATTACCCAATCGTATATGGGACCTGTGGTAAAATTAGGCTTAGTATAGATTAGTTAAAGCTCTTAACTTACAGTTCCAAGTCGCTGACTAGGTTGACCACACAATGGGCGGCAGTCACGATGTGGTTGCTGGAGATGAGGGATCCCGAGCAGCGAAAGCTAATCCTGCTGCTGCCTGAAAAAGACATGGTAGAGCCTTGTTAAAATTGAAATATCTCCTTTACAGCAGATGTGCGCGTGTCCCTGTTCCGGAGGGAGTAGACCACCTCAGACCAAAGACCCCGATTCTTGCCCAGCTCCAGGTGCGGGTAATGGAGGCGGTGGCGGTGGTCGTGGCGGTGGTGCCGGTGCTGCTCCCAACCAGAAGCGTCAACCCTGTGGTCCCAAGCCTTGCGGCGGAACTCAATGCAAGAAATGCGGAAAGGGTGGCAAAGGCGGCCCTGGAGGAAAGGGCGGCCCTGGGGGCAAAGGTGGCCCCAACAGCAGAAACGGACCAGGCGGTGGCTCCGGAGGACCCGGTGGACCTTTGGGTCTAAGGGCGCCACCGGATAATCGAGGTCCAGCGGCTCTGGGATTAGCTGCTCTGCTCTTTGCCGTCGGGGTCTTTCTTACAGTAAGACTGGGCATCGTGGCCAATGAAATCGGATGAACCAGGCTTCTAACCCAGCGAGGAATTCACTCAAGCAAAGGCGTTGCGTGGATTTGGGCAGGATACAAATTAAATTCAAAATTTCACATTTAAGCTCTACTCACTTCGGTTGCGATAGGCGATCCTGGCCAGCCAGGGGTATTGTCCATTAGTGGCCTGTTCTCCTCCCAGCAGTCTGCTCTCCACACTTATTCCAAATTCTTGTGGGTCATCTCGTATCACAAGAGGTGGTATTGATGTGGTCAGAGAAGCAGTGACCAATGGAGTAGGTGTACTTGTGGTAAAAGGTGCCAGTGGAGGACCTTCCTCTAAACTGAAGTTAGGATCATCCTGCTCTCCCTGCCGCAGGAAGCGTAGGTCTCCGGGAAAGATAATCGGCTTATCCTTGGGAGCGGGTCGAGGTGAAGTAGCATCCTGTTCCTCATGCTCCACATGATAGTGAAAGTGGTGGCCGCCACCGAATCGCCGGTCGAAGAACTCTGGCTCCACAGGCTGCGGGCAGTTGCGTTGCTCCTCGAAGTTCCAGTAGTCGTGCACATGGGTCTCCGCCAACAGAAAGTCCGAGTGCCGACTTGCGCCCTTGCTATCACCGCCATCATCCCAAATCCAACGATCTTGGGGCGGAGCAAAACGCATCTTGCGACTTGCCTTGGCCGAGGATGACTCATCGCGGTGCTGCTTGCGGGAGGTGGGACAGCAGACGAGCGGCTCGAGACCTTGGAAGCCACAACTGGCCGCGTGGACTTTGGCAAACACGGCGGACTGCTCGCCGGGACCGTGATGCAGCAGGAGGCGGGCAAAGGGCGCACATTTGCCCAGGCGGATGCAGTGGCAGGCGGAGGCTCCGCGATCCCCTGAAATGAGAACGGAATAGCTGGATGACAAGGCAAGAAATCACCGCTCGAAGCGAAGGTCAATGTCGGCGAGGCAATCGCAAACCAGAAGTGCCCCCGGCAATTACTCACTCACTTTTTTGATTCGGTTTATTGCCCTTCGCTTTTGCCGCTGGGAATTTCTAGTCGCCGACCTTGACCCACTTGGCGGGCTGTTCTTTAATTACCCCTCCTCCCCCGCGAGCAAGTTTGTTTCTTGAGTCATTCGTTTTTTTATGGATCCCCCGGGATACTCACCACTCAGCCGCAGGATGCAGATCAGCAGGGCAAAGAGTTCTAGGTGCCGCATTGCGAAAGATCGGATATTGGGAAGCCGCCGCTGACACAACGTCACCCGTCCAAGTGCGAAATTGAAATAAATTGGTTCATTTCTTACTTCCACATCCCAGCTCTATTCAGATTTCGATTTCAGCGACGGCGACGAATCAAAACAAAAAGAGAGCTCGAAAAAAACCAATTATCAGGCCGTAAATTCAGTTTGGACCAAAGAGCAGCAGCAGACGAAGAGCAACCAGACTGCCGGCTAGGTGAGTAACCGACTAGCAGCCAGAAGAATTCAATACAAAACAAGGGAGAACGCTATAGTCGGTTGGGTGTCCCGACTATCTAATACCCGTCACTCACATAAAATTTTTTTGATTATGCATAACTTTTTAATGAATGGTCCGATTTGAAAAAGGTCTTCTACATTTCGATAGGTATAAATATACACAACAAAATTGCATTTATACTTCTAGGAAATCTTTAAAGGTGTGGGCGCCAGACACTTTTTAAAATTGTTAGTTTGCGATTGTGGGCGTGGCGCTCGGCTGAAATAAACTCGCGATGCATAGGAAGCCCAAGAATATGTGTGGAAAATCTCAACCATCTAGCTTTTGTAGTTTCCGAGATCTCAGCGTTCATACGGACAGACAGACGGACATGGCTATATCGACTCGGCTAGTGACCCTGATCAAGAATATATATACTTTATAGGGTCGGAAACGCTTCCTTCTAGCTGTTACATACTTTTGCACGAATACAATATACCCTTTCAGTCTACGAGTAACGGGTATAAACATGTTTTTGTTCTGCTATTCGCTAGCCGAACTGAAGATCAAGTCGAGGAACAGGAACAGGACACCGTTTAGAATGTGGAACTCTCTTTCGTGTATTATTGAGGCTTACTTTACAGATTGTGCTCTTAAGCTAGTCGATAGATGAACGCGGGGAACTAAGGGCTATAGAATGAGAACAGAGTCTTACTTAGGAGCCAAGCTTACGTAACTAGAAATGCATCGCGTGGAATGTCGAGTTGCCGATGATGTACAACTAAAATACTTAACTACTCATTAGGCCTTTTTATAGTCGATCTGGTTTGGTCTTTAACGATCGTGCAGAGTCTAAGCCACCGGGGGAACCTCTGCCGAGGCCACGGTGACTGTAACGCTATTCTCGACCTGTTCTACAGGTTCGACAATCGGCTGGGGAGTCGGGGATGGGGATACCGATGGCGATGGAGATGGAGACGTATTCACCGCAATCGTTGTCACTGCAGCCGCTGGATAATGGCCATTTACATCGGCTTGGCTATTGCTAACTTCCCCAACCGACTCTTCCACGTCGTCGTCATCGACGGGCGTCTCTTGGCTCAAGACTGCCGCCAAGCGATTGTCATCTGGTTCGGGAGCTGCTGGTTCTTCTCCCGCCTCGGGAGCTGCGACCTCTGCCACTTCTGCCACCGATGATAGCTGCTCCAGTTCGGAATCCCCGCCCTCTTCGCTCGCTCCATTTGCATTTAAATGCACGGCTACGTCGCCATTGTGCGCGGAATGGGGTCCCCGCAGCTCATTGATGATCTTCTCCCCCACCTTCGCGTCGATCTCGCTAATCTTCTCCTGCAGCTGGCACTTAAACTCGATCGGCCACTTGGGGCTCCATTCACGGAACAGCTTAATCTGCGGACAATGAACCGTGAGAAGGGGGGAAAGGGGCAACTTTCTACTACTTACGCGGCACTGGAACAGGCTCATGGGTTTATCCTGCACTGATGCGTTGGCCAGCGAGTTGACCATTCCATTCACATGGACATCGCTGGCACTGGAGCCCCGGGCCAGGTACTCCACAAAAACGTAGACAAAGTCGTCGCGCTGCAGCTCGCTCCACTCCTTGAACCACTGGATAATGTAGCGGAACTCGCCGTCTATGGATAGATTGCTCATCGACATCCCGCTGCCGTTTGTTTATATTGCTCTTTCCCACGACGGTGACGCCCCCGCAGTTCCTCTGTCTGTCTGGCTTTTCAGTGGATGTGGATCAGGCGATGCGCTGGCAGGGATTCAGGTTCCGGAAATCGGTTCGCTTCGATGCGACTGCAACGCCAGACTGCTGGAGAGCTGAATGCTGGTGAGCGCTGCGCTCCAAAGTTACCAGTAAAAGTAAAACCCGTTTCCGCCTATGATTTTTCCCACAGCACAGGCTCGGCTTTGTTTAAGCTAGAGATGCGCGCTCAGGTGAATGTTCTTCACGAAAGGCACGAATTAAAATAAAATATTTAAAAAAACACTTAAAATTTTTCTCTTATTAAGTGCAACTAATTTATCAAGCTTACTAATTATTTATTATTATTTATTGTAGCTAACGATATTCACAAAATATTTAATTTTGAAGAACAGAAATTAAGATTTTTTTGATTTAAGTCTGTTTTTGTTATTATTTATAATTAATTATTAATAATTAATTATTTTTTAAAATGTAAGCTTTAGAGCCGTGACACGAAAAAGTTCTCACGCACCCACCTCTAGTGCAAACCTACCTCAAAGCAGCTGACTGTCGATAATTAGCCCAAGCTTGTTATCGATTGGCAGCAGCACCTGCCCGGTAAGGCGAGCTTAAACTTCAGAGACTTTTGAAACGTAAATTGTCTTTTTTGCCAGATCTAGTGGTTTTTTACAAGTCTATAGTGAGTTAAGGGAGGTCCCATTTTTTCAGAAAAAAAGGTTTTTAAATACAAATTTCGAAAGGTTGTTAGGAACATATATAAGTTAGGAAAAAATGTACACAAATATGTAAATTAGCACTTATTTTCCATATTTTTGAAATAAAACGCGCGAAAAGAAGAAGATTTTTTAGCGAGAATCCATGGTCGGTCGAGAGCATTTCGGGTGAAAAGTCATTCCACCATCTGGTTACACTGAAATATCGTATATAATATAGCAGAAAGTAAATAAGTTTAAGAAAATCATTTATTACAACAAGAGAATGTCTTCGTCCGAGCTGGAAATACAAAAGACTGCCGATGGCCAGCAGGAGCGGCAGGTGCCGGCGGGCGCGGAGCTGGCGGGCCAGAAGGAGCCGGAGGCGGACACAAACGCCAGTACGAAGGCGGAGCGCGATTTTGCCGCGGCCGAGCAGTACAAAAATCAGGGAAATGATATGCTCAAAAGTAAGTACCTGCACACCTTTCCCCGCTAATTAACCCGCAATGACGGCGATTGGTGGACTGCCAGTTACCCGTAATTCGAATTCCCGGAGTGCACTTTCCGAGTGCCCCCCCTTCAACCTAACCTTAAAACAAAGGCAAACTATGGCTGTGTGTGATAATTTACAAGTCTCCCGGAACTCATGGGGTATAATTAGTAGCATTACTCACCCCTGGCACTCTCTCCCGCAGCCAAGGAGTTCTCCAAAGCCATCGACATGTACACCAAAGCCATAGAACTGCATCCCAACAGTGCGATATATTACGCCAACCGATCTTTGGCGCATTTGCGCCAGGAGAGCTTCGGCTTCGCCCTGCAGGATGGCGTCTCGGCGGTGAAGGCGGATCCCGCCTACCTCAAGGGCTACTATCGCCGGGCAGCGGCGCACATGTCCCTGGGGAAGTTCAAGCAGGCCCTCTGCGACTTTGAATTCGTGAGTAATCCCCGCCAGCTTAGTTTGGCCATCTAATGAACGATAATTGCCTTCCAGGTGGCCAAGTGCCGGCCCAACGACAAGGACGCCAAGCTGAAGTTCACCGAGTGCAACAAGATTGTCAAAATGCGCGCCTTTGAACGGGCCATTGCCGTGGATAAGCCCGAGAAGACGCTCTCCGAGATGTACAGGGACATGGAGAACATAAGTGAGCAGTCTACAGGCCTCCTAAAAAATGGAGATATTAATCTTTATGCCTTATAGCTATCGAGGATGACTACAAGGGGCCACAGCTGGAGGACGGCAAGGTGACCCTGAAGTTCATGAAGGACTTGATGGAGCATTACAAGGGACAGAAGCGATTGCACCGCAAATTTGCCTACAAAGTAAGGATGCAATTAGCCATTACTACTGACCCTTGAATAATTATAATCCTGCCATCAGATACTCTGCGAGATTGACACGTATATGCGGGCTCAGCCCTCGCTGGTGGACATCACTGTGCCGGATGAGGAGAAGTTCACGATTTGCGGCGACATCCACGGTCAATTCTACGACTTGATGAACATCTTCGAGATTAATGGCCTGCCATCCGAAAAGAATCCGTATCTGTTCAATGGCGATTTCGTGGACAGAGGCTCCTTCTCCGTGGAATGCATATTCACGTTGTTCGGCTTTAAGTTGCTGTATCCCAATCACTTCTTCTTGTCGCGCGGTGAGTTTTTATTCCCATTAAAGTGTGCGAATTGTATAAATTAACTTTGTTTTTAGGCAACCACGAAAGTATCAACATGAACCAAATGTACGGATTCACTGGCGAGGTGACGGCCAAGTACACCAGCGCCATGGCGGACATATTCACGCAGGTGTTCAACTGGCTACCGCTGTGCCACTGCATCAACACAAAGATCCTGGTGATGCACGGCGGGCTCTTCTCCACGGACAACGTGACCTTGGACAATATACGGCGCATCGAGCGCAATTGCCAGCCGCCCGAGGAGGGTCTCATGTGCGAGCTGCTGTGGTCCGATCCCCAGCAGTGGATGGGCCGGGGTCCGTCCAAGCGCGGCGTGGGCATCCAGTTCGGTCCGGATGTTACCGAGACGTTCTGCAAGAACAACAACCTGGACTACATCATACGAAGCCACGAGGTCAAGGATATGGGCTACGAAGTGGCACACAACGGTCAATGCATAACAGTCTTCTCAGCTCCGAACTATTGGTAGGGAAAATCAATTTTCCCATAGGAACACAAAGTGATTTTTTACCCTTTTCTTTGCAGTGATACTATGGGCAACATGGGCGCATTTATTACCATTACGGGTAACAATTTGAAACCAAATTACAAATCATTCGAGGCTGTGGTAAGTGCAGATATAGATAACCTAAAGCCAAATCATAATCACAATTATTTTTAGCCACATCCCGACGTCAAGCCCATGGCCTATGCCAACAGTCTGATGAACTGGCTGGCGTAGTCAGTTTCCAATTAACTTCAATAGCTAAACGCATACTCCCACACACCACATACAAATTTACAAACAGCTTGAGAACCCACAACCGCAGAGCAGCAGCCCAGCAGCCCAGCTTGAAACGATCAAAGGAGAGGCAGAGGATTCGGAGATGCTCAATAGACTTTATGCACACTGCGAGCTGCTTCACTACTTAAGTACGAGTATTGCGAGTCATTAGGATGGCGTGGAACGGATGGGGAAAGGATCAGATCACAAATAGAGAACAGCAATCATTTTATAAATTCAGCTATATTTGATACAGAACGAAATGTTATAGTGTATAGTGGCTTTAGAAGTCGGATGCTAAGTTTTATCGGTGCCAAGCATCTGCGGTTCCACTTGTAAGTGAAAAATTTAAAGAAAATGTTTGTTTATGCATAGCATTTAGTTATGGCTACCAAAACATAATATACAAGTGAATATATATAAAATTCAACTTCAATTTTGTTTGTTCCGAACGCTTAATTTGTGTATAAAAACAGTTTTGTTCAACCCTTGCCTTGTTTATATATTATAAAAAGTCATTTTAATAAAACTATTCAAGTTAGATACCTCAATAATAATCCTCAAATTTTTTCAATCCAAAAACTATTGCATACTCTACTGACATAAGTAACAACATACTGATCAAAGTATCCGAAAATGCATAAAAAGACAACTAGCATTAGAGAGCCTGTAATATTAATCGAGTGAACAGAAATCAGAATAGAGCAATTGAGAAATAATAAAAACTGTCTGTTCTTTATTAATCGAGGTCGAGTCCACTTGCTATGCTGAAGCCCATGACCCCGAAGATGTGGCTAACATTAGCCTGGTAATCCTTGAGATGGGCTCGCTGCAAAAGCGTCACGTATACAAATGGTCCATTGTAAGAAGCCAGTTGCAGGAAAAACTCCCTGGCCGGAATTTGCAGCTCCTGCGGCTGCGTCTGCGATAAGTAAAGCACCATTGTGGTCATCAGATCGTGCAGATGTTTTCCCTCAATCTGCAGGCCAAGTACAAAGTCCGCCAGACTCTTGAGCAGCTTCAGCTGCAGTTTGTACTCCTGAGTCTGGGCTAGTGGCGTTTCCACGCTGCTGTGCAGGCTGGCTGCCTTGAGGAACTGCTTCAGCTGAGGTATCACATCGCTAAAAGGCACAACGGAAAAGTGATTAAGCAGATTTTCTTATTTCTGAGGCAACAACTTACGTGAGACTTCGTTTCAGTATAAAGTCCTTGGCATGAACGCCCAGCAAGTGCAGCAAGGTGAAGCAACGGTTTAGCACCAGAGCGTCCTTCTGACGGAACTTTTCGACAAGTGGCTGCCACACCAGATGCACCAGTGGCAACAGCTCGTTCTCATAGTCCGCCAGCAATGGCAAACCACTGGAGAAGCATTCGAGAGCTGCGATCTGCTGTGCCTGATTGGCGGTGGAAATGAACTTGACTACTTGACCCAGTATGTCCTTAACCATTTCCACGTGGCGCGGTAAAACAGGTTTTGTGGGCTCTGGTTCTGTGTCCTCCGCATCCTCTGGATCTTTATCCTTAGCTGGCTCCTCGGCCATGTCTGCATCGCCATTTAGATCCTCGAGCAACTGCGGCTTCTTCAGCACACTCATCCACGTGCTCAGGACACTCTGCTCCTCATCCACTTGCATCGGCAGCTCTGCGTTGATCTCCGCAGCTGCATCAACTTGCCAGTCGGAAACGTGACTTAGGAATGCCTTGAAGACGCGCAGATAAGAGTGCACATTGGTCGACTGATGCGATTTGGAGCACTCCTCGCGTATGGTTTGGAATAAGCTGTCCAGGTGCGGCACATTGCCCCGAGTGCTGTACTGCAGCACAACGGTGAGAATGTCCACGGCGGCTGTGCTGTCCGGCGAGCGTTTCAGCAAGGCGTTCAGGTGGAAAGTGATGTAGTCCGTGGAGCACTCTATAAAATGAGAGGGCTCGGCATATCTGAGTGCTAGCTGCATGGAAACGAAGGCGAAACTGGCCGCCTGATGAACGATGGTGTTACTGCTGGCCACCTTGAGCAGCACTTTGTGCAGACTCAAAAATATATGCCTGTCGAAGGTATCGCCAATGAACCTGGCACAGTTTCCCACTGCATCCAAAATCAAGCAGGTGTGCAGCACATTGAACTGGGCGTCTGCAATGGTTACCCGACTGGCGACCACCTCTGCCTGTTCGTCGTCGGAATCGCAGTCCTGGGTGCGCACCTCCACGGCCGATGAATAGAGGCCAGGGGTGCGTTCCTCAAACCAATGGGTTGGCTGAAATATAAAATATAGTACACATTAGAGCCCTGCGTGAATCATTCAATTTTTGTTTTATAATAGTAGGTATGCCATGAAATTTCTGATTTGTTTAATTTAATTCTATGTGAAATAAATTAATGGGTTTCTTATTAATTTCGAATTGAATGGATGAATGAACAATTTTTAAGAATTTTTTGAATTTGCCACATTCTTTTGTGCTTTCTTTTGAGAACAAATAGTGGACAATTTTTAACAAATCAATGTCAACTGCTTAGAAAATAAAATTCATGCAGATTTAATCACAAAATTATGGCCCCTTGTTCTTCAAAAGAAATTGTCATTTGATTTATTTCGGAATTCATGCCATTCATTCGTTCAATTCTATTAAACTCAAAATTCTAATTAATTCATTCATATAAAACAAAAAATTCAAAATAATTTATTTAATTTAATGGATGAATGAATAATTTTTAAGAATTTTTTGAATTTGCCACATTTTTTTGTGCTTTCTTTTGAGAACAAATAGTGGACAATTTGTCACAAATCAATGTTAACTGCTTAGAAAATAAAATTCATGCAGATTTAATCACAAAATTATGGCCCTTTGTTCTTCAAAAGAAATTGTCATTTGATTTATTTCGGAATTCATGCCATTCATTCGTTTAATTCTATTAAACTCAAAATTCTAATTAATTCATTCATTTAAAACAAAAAAATCGAAATAATTCATTGAATCCATTCACGCAATGTGTACTACACATTGATAATTTGGATAACCCACACTCACCTTGTTGACCTTGAGACGCCACGCTGAGTCCGGCTGCAGGGCCAGGTTCCAATGCTCATCCCGAAGGATTTGGTCCAAGAAAAGATTAGCCAGCACCAAACGACTTTCGCGAGCCTTCTTCTCCTGCGGCGTGATCATCAAAGTGAGGAGTAGCACGCACTCGTTCATCGAAGACGACCTCTGCTGAATAAGCTCTTGACAGTAATCGAAGATAAGGCGATTCAGGGAAGGTTGGGCACCCAACATGGCTCCAATATCGTATAGAATGTCGACGGTGCGCTTGGAGGCGAGATACTTGAACTGGCGCCAAGGCAGCTTGGCTAGTTCGGCGGCCAGGCCCTTGGAATTGCCTTCGCGAATTCGACGGAGGGAGTACTCCTCATTTAGGAGATCCCTGGTTGGCCGTTGATCAAGAGCTGTTAGCAGACAGCTCACGAACATCTCCAGGTTTTTGGGAACCAGCAGCAGCAGCTGCAACTTATCGGCATTGACGTTGCGCAGGAATCCCTTGAAGAAGAGCAGCTCTGCGAACTGTTCGTTGTCCTCGCCGCGATGCAGGATGCGTGGCCATTTGTTGAGATGCGCATCCAACAGCATTTCGGCATTCTCGTCGAAAATGCCACGGCTGGTGGGCTGTTGCTGCAACAGAATCAGGGTTTCCCTGCACTCCACGGCTATCTTCTCGTTCTCGTCCTCCGACATGGCCAAAACGCTCTCCAGCACGTGCAGGAAGTTGCCCCTCAGATTGTGGGCACAATGCTTGAGCAGCAGACAGCACATGTCGCAGTAGCTTTCCCTAATCCTCAGCGCGCTGTTTGCCCTCAGAATACTGGTCTCCACAAAAATTGGCCGCAGACGTCGAGATGTGGCCGCCACCCACTGAACCGAACGAAGCTCCGCCTGCATTTGATGCAGTCGCTCCTCATTTTGTTCGGTAGAAGTCTTTTTGCTGCCGAAAAATGTGTAGTCGCTATTCTCGGCCATATTATCTGTGGAGGTCTTGAAGAGTTTTCGAAATGCCTCCACATCGTAGCGCATTTTCATAAACTCCTCTGTGGTTTCCTCGAACATGATGTTGATTATGCGACCCAGTGCTTGAATGGCCATCTAAATAAAGGATTATAATACATTGCCTCACAAGAATTCAAGAGAAACTCACCGATTTGATGGCCTCGCCCACCTTGTCGTCTTTCATGGATGTTTTGAACAGCACAATGAGGACCTTGGGAAGGAAAATGAATATGGTGTTGGCCACCTGACTGCGCAGCACCACATCCGCGTGGTCGGAATCGTCATGGACGTAGAAAACCAGCATCAAGCACTGAAGGGCTGTCTGGACGAGTTTGCGATACCTTTCCTGCTCGATGATCTCCAGGAGCATCAGCAGTATCTGGCCAACGACCATCGCCGTCTCCTTGACGTAGAAAGACTCCAGCACATCGCTGGTCGAGCGACGCAGTGCCTCGAATATGCACTTGATGGCAGCCAGTTTGATTTCCTCGGAGAGATTGGGTCGCATGATGGCTGCCTTGGAGTCGCGTACCTGTTGCAGCACCACCACCAGGATGGAGCGCAAACCCTTTTCGTCCGCCAGGTAAGTTTGGGATACAATGCTGCTGAGGCAGTTCATCAAACTGGTGCGCAGCTCCTGGTTTTCCCTGGGAAAAGGATAGCTTTCTCAGGGGGGCGCATCCCATGTGGAGTGTCGGAGTCACTTACCCCGTCAGTTCGTCCAGTTTGAGCACCAGTGGCACCACCGTTTGCACCTGGTAAATGCGCATTTCTCCAAAGTTGAATCCCTCGATTTCGCGCTCCACCTGGGCCAGCGTGTCCTTGCTGGGCTCCTTGATGAATCCCTCCACCGCAGGCTTGATCTTCGTCACATACCGCTCCAGATGCATCATCTTGGCAGCCGGTATTCAATTTCCCAAAAGAAACAAAACGCCGGCAAAATCTGCAGAGGAATTTTGAACCAACAGCTGTTTTGACAGTCACGCTGAAACGCGCGCGAATTTCCACCTCACACCCCACTACACATATATCGCTATCGAAAACTATCGGTATTTTTGAAATGCGCGCCACACTTACTACTAACTGACATAAATCAAAAGATAGTGGGTTGCGCGTTGAAATTAAAATGTATTATCATTATGAGATCCAATACAATACAAATTAATTAAACTAGCTGTAGAACTCGTGTTGAGCCTCGTCCTTGCGCACGCTGGTCTTGTATCCCTTCTCGAAATCCTTGGCGTTGACCACGTAGCGATTCTCGCGCACCGCGTGCATTCCTGCCTCCTGGCAAATCGCATTGATGTCAGCATTGGAGATCTTGTCCGGGCGCGCGATTATGTCCTCCAGGTCAACGTCCTCTCCCACATTCATTTTCGAGGTGATTGTGGTGAAAACCAGGCGCTTCTGACGACGATCCGGCAAAGGGAACTCTATCTTGCGATCCAAACGCCCGGGACGCAAGAGAGCTGGATCCAAGGTGTCGGCACGATTGGTAGCCATAATCACCTTAATGTTGGTGGTCTCATCGAAGCCATCCATCTGGTTGAGCAGCTCCAGCAGGATGCGCTGCACCTCGCGATCCGCACCCGTTTGGGCATCGAAACGCTTGGTGGCGATGGCGTCGATTTCATCGATAAAGATGACCGACGGAGAATTCTGCTTGGCCAGACGGAAGAGATCCCTGACCATGCGCGGCCCCTCGCCCAAGTACTTCTGGACGAACTCGGAGCCCACGACGCGGATGAAAGAGGCGGTGGTGTGATGGGCTACCGCCTTGGCCAGCATGGTCTTGCCACATCCGGGAGGGCCAAAGAGAAGTACACCACGCGGAGGATCAATGCCTAAAAATAGGGTCCTTATAGGTAGGTAGAATCTCTAACTAGATAACCTACCGATTTGCTTGTACAACTGGGCGTGCGTGAGGGGCAGCTCGACGGCCTCGCGAATTTCTTGTTTCTGCATGTCCAATCCCCCGATATCCGAGTAGTGGACATCTGGCCTTTCCTCCGGTGTTAGCATCGAAATGGTGCTGTCCGCCTCCGGGGGCACCAGATCCACTAGGCAGTTGCTCTGCTTGTGCAGGGCCACCGATGAGGAGGGCTTGAGTTGCTCTCTGTCAATGGTGGACAGGACGCGAACGTAGTAATTGGAGCCGGTAGTGGAGGCCACAATGCCATTGTTCTCGTCCACCGCCTCCAGGAATTGGCCAATGACCAGGGGAACGGCCTTGATACGCTTTACCTCCTCCTGGGCGTGAATGAACTCCTTCTTCAGGTTGCGCTGCTCCTCCTTGATATAATCCTCCTGCACCTGAATGAGCTCCAATTCCATCTGGAGCTTCTTGTACAGCACATACAGATCATTGGGGTCAAGACCCTCGTATTTCTGCAGCGACTTCTGGTGAAATTGAGCAATTTCTTCTTTAAACATACGCATTTTTGTCATGTCCCTGCAAAGTTTCGAACGAAAAGGAGGATGACTTGAATTTTCAAAAGCTAAATCAGAGTGGAGTTGGAGAGTTATCGATAGCAGCTAGCTGAATGGCAGTTGTGTCATGGGCGTAGGTAGATACAATTTTAAGGGATACAAATTATTTTAATATGTATTCACTTAATAAAATTGAAGATAGTTTTTAAATTATTGGACAAAAATCATAAAGAATTCTTTATAATGCCAGTAAAAAATAAAATCCCCTCTGGCACCTTTTGCGTTGCCATGCGAATGGCTATCAGCTGTTGCACCGACCTGTTGTTTTTCTTGCTCTTTCTGTTGTTGTGGTTGCTTTTCTGCCTTTCGACGTGGAGCGATCTATTTATATATCTATTTTGGTTTATTTTGGAAGCACATATTCTCTTCGGCATAGGATAAATACGTATATATGCTTAAACATTCACACTTTCTGTGAAACGGTTAAGCATTTCTCCGAAGAAAGGTGGCCAAAGAACAACGTTGTGCAACGCCGGCTGGGGATTTAAAGATTGACGTTAAATTGCATCAGGAAAAGATATATAGATTTTCCAACGCGCAAGAATATATAGAAATCGGTGTCACAGCAAATATGGCCATTATGTAACGCACCGATTCCGGCTCCAGCGTATTTAGCACACTAGCGACACCCCAAAGATCCAGGATCACAATGGACATCCTGGTTTTTCTGACGGCGGCGGCCCATTTGGTCTACACGCCCTTTACGAAAGTGGAGGAGAGCTTCAATCTGCAGGCCATGCACGATATTCTCTATCTGCGCAACAACTTTACACAGGTTTGGGTTCCGTTTTCTCAGGTTGTTTATTTACTAATCTCCTCCTGCCTTTCAGTACGATCACCATGACTATCCGGGCGTGGTGCCCCGCACCTTCATTGGCCCACTGGTGGTGTCCATGATCTCAGCCCCGTTCGTTCTCCTCTTCGAGACTCTGAACATCAACAAGTTCTGGGCCCAATATGTAGGTAAAAGCAGCCTTTCAACTGTTAATTCTGGAATACTGAAATAAATCTGTTTCCTTAGTGCGCCTCGTCCTGGCTGGAGCCATCTCGGTGGCCTGGAACAAACTGCGCCAGGCGGTGACCAAGATCTACGGCGTTGAAGTGCGCCTGTGGTTCACAGCCATCACCATTACGCAGTTCCACTTCATGTTCTACATGACGCGTCCGCTGCCCAATATCTTCGCCCTGCCCATAGGTAAATCTAGGAGATTATCTCTGCTATGTGCCCAATTTAATTGGATTTCATCATTGCAGTTCTGTTTGCCATCGCCTATTGGCTGCGCGACCAGCACAAGCCATTCATCATCTGCTCGGGCATATCCATCCTCGTCTTTCGCTCCGAGTTGGCACTATTTTTGGGTCTTTTGCTGGTCGTGAGCCTCCTGCAGCGCAAATTCTCCATTGACGGGTAAGGTGATCGATTATTACTTACTATTTAATACTAATTTGTTTATTAATAGGCTGCTGAAGGTTGCTCTGCCGGCGGGCATTTGCATTTTGGCCGCCACAGTGCTGGTGGACTCGTTCTTTTGGCGCCGCCTGCTTTGGCCCGAGGGCGAGGTGCTCTGGTACAACACAATACTGAATAAGAGTTCGAATTGGGGCACATCGCCCTTCCTGTGGTACTTCTATTCGGCGTTACCAAGAGCCATGGGTGCATCGTTGGTGCTTGTGCCCATTGGAGTTACGCTGGAGCCACGTATTCGCCCATTGGCTTTGTCGGCTCTGCTCTTTGTCCTCTTGTACTCCGTTCTGCCTCACAAGGAGCTGCGTTTCATCATCTACGTGTTTCCAGTTCTCAATATTGCCGCCGCCTGCGCCTGCCAACGCATGTAAGTTAAAGAATCTCAACTCTTTTAGTGGAAAGTTGTTCTAATATATTTTCTATTTCCCTCAGTTGGATGAACAGCGCCAAGTCGACGTGGCACAGCTTCCTGGCCCTCGCCTGCGGAGCTCACCTCCTGTTGAATGTCTTTATGACCATCTTTTTGCTTGTAATTTCTGGCACTAACTATCCGGGTGGAGCGGCCCTTTCCCGCTTGCATCGCTTGGAGGCTGGCTCTCCTAATGTCTCCGTGCACATTTCCAACTTGGCCGCCCAGAGTGGCGTGTCGCGTTTCATGGAAATACACGATGAGTGGATCTACAGCAAGGACGAGTCGATGAACTATACCCAAGCGGATCTTGAATTGTACACCCATCTCTTGGTGGAGGCGAAAAACAAGCAGAACACGGAACTTTGGACCTCATTGCAAAACGATTTCGATACTCTGGAGTTTGTCGACTGTTTCAACAGCATCGGCATTCAGTACAATTCACTGCTGCCGGTGCGCATTAAAACTAAGCCTTGCATTGGTATACTAAAAAGAAAGGCGCTGCCTCCGAAGGAAAAATTAAAAATTAAGGAGAAAAAGATAAAAACTAAAGCGCCTGAAGTTGAGAAAGTAACTCCTTCGCCTGCAGTTGAGAAAGTTACTCCTTTGCCTGCAGTTAAGAAAATAACTCCTTTGCCTTCTGTTGAAGATATACCAAAGAAAAAGGAAGTTTCGAAGATCAAACCGATGTTACCAGTGGATCTTGACGATGACGATGGCATAGTGGCAACTGTGGAGGAAATGTCCCTGGAACTGGAGACCACTGAACCACAAGCTGAGGCAGAAGCAGAAGCAGAAGCCGTAGAAACTCCCGCCAAGGAGATCAACTTCCAGGAACTGCGTACGCTCGCCTTGGGACAGGCGACGAAAAAATCGCGGGCAGCCACCAAGCTGAAAATACGCAAAATCATCGAGCAGCACTACCGAGCCAAGGGCAAGCAAATCGAAAACGACTCCGCGGAGCAGGCTCAAAAATCACCTGGCTCTCCCGGCGGACGACCAGGACTAAGGCAGTCTGTGAAGTCCATCATTAAGCAGGAGAGGATCAAGGAAATGATCGAGCAGATCGCAACGATGGACCTCACACGCATCTGCGACTTGGAAAAGACATCGACGAAGGACTGTTTGAAACAGGTCATTGACAAAATAGACGATAGCGAGGGCTTGAAAACCAAATGACAAAACTTACCATATTTTCAACTGTTTCTAAATTAAACTAATGTTTGTAAAAAAAAAAGCTAATAAAAACATTATTTTTTCTAAATGATCTATCTCTAGTAACATTTTCCCAAAAGATATTGATTATTCCGATCTAAGTTGTCCTTATGATATTTCTCCATATGATAATCGGCTTAACTTTTTCAAAAGAATTTTTAAATACATTTTTAAAAAATTGAAATTGGCGCCAAAAATGTAACCGATTGGTTCCTCGAATAAATAAAAAACGTTCAATAACATAAATATGTTCAAAATTAAAATGTTTCAATAAATTGTTTGACTTTTAATATGGACAATAAGTTTTCCATTTTTATTTTAAAAAAAATTCTATTAGACTTAAGATATACATTTAATAAAAAAAAAGCGTACAGTCTATTATAACAGATAAATAATAATTTTTAAGATTTTAGATCATCAACTTCGAATCGGCAACAATTAGGACATGTTACCAAAAAATCGTTTTTAAAAATTTTTAAAAATGTATAACATTTCTGCGTGATTCGTGCTCACGATTACGAGTTATTTTACATCTCTAGCGTGAGCACAACATTTAAATTAACAGTAGTGAAAACACAATTGTTTCGGCTGTAAAATCGAAATTACAAATTCCCAGAAGCTGTTATCTATTTGATAAGGTGAGATAACCCGGCAATTGCAGATAGCGCCGCATGCGCATCACCCGGAACTCTTGCTATTGTGTTTTTATCCACCGCAAAACTCCCACGCAGGCGGTTCCACCCACAATCATATGTTCTCTTATCACCTTCAGGTTGACCTCCAGTCGAAAAGTACGGCAATCGGAAGAGAAACAGTGCGCTGCAATGGAGCTGACTGGATGGGTGAAGAACTACGACTGGGGCCGCAGGGGCATCAAGTCGGCGGTGGCCCAGCTGGCCATGGCCAATGATCCGGACTTCCGGCTGAACGAGGAGGAGCCCTACGCGGAGATGTGGATGGGCACCCATGTGTGCGGTGTGTCGGTGGTCAAGGAAACCGGCGAAACTCTGGACAGAGTTCTGAAAAAGGACCTATCCTACCTGTTCAAAGTGCTGAGCATCAACAAGGCACTCAGCATCCAGGTGCATCCGAACAAGTGCGAGGCGGAGCGACTGCACAAGGAGCGCCCGGAGATCTACAAGGATCCCAACCACAAGCCGGAGCTGGCCATTGCCCTGACGCCCTTTCTGGCCCTGGTGGGCTTCCTGCCGGCCGACGACATCAGGGACAACATAGACCAGTTCCAGCCCCTGAGTAAATTGATTGGTAGCGAAGCTGTGGACCAAATCCACCAATCCGCCGATGGACAAAGTGTTAAGCTGTGCTACGAGAAGCTAATGAAAACGGAGGAGTCCGAGATAGCCAAGTGCATTGCGGAAATAGCCAAGGACTATCAGAAGGGTGAGCTAATCAGGAAAATCTCTTGGTAACAGGGTTCCGAAAATAACACACACTGAAAAAATCGGATTTTAGGTGAAATCGTTTTTTTTTTAAATATGAATTAAAGCCACATTTGATTGGTTAAACATTTTTTACAAAAACCTCAATTAAGTTTGGCCTTAATCTAATTATAACTTAATAAATAAAATTTTTTTAAATCGTATTTAAAAAACGACTTCACGTAAAATCCGATGTCTAGTTATTAACGTGTTAAATGTCAAAGTGTTAAGTTCAAAAAAGTTATTGACATGTGTGTTAAAAATTCTAGCCTACATATGTTAGAAACATAAATAACACACACATGTCATTTGTGTTATTTACACGCAGAGTTATTACCACGACGTGTTTTTTACACAGTGTTTTCTACACTTCTACATATGTATGTTAGAAACATAAATAACACACACATGTCACTTGTGTTATTTACACGACGTGTTTTTTACACAGTGTGTTTTTAACACAATGAGTTTTGCACATTTAAGTGACAGCTAGTAACCCTTTTCTAAACCATATTTTTAAACAGAACTAAAGTCCAACAATCTGCTCGAGGTGTTCACCCAGATCAACAAAGACTTTCCCGGCGATGTGGGCGTGCTGTCGCTGTTCTTCCTCAACCTCATCCGCCTGCAGCCCGGCCAGGCCATCTACCTGGGCGCCAACGAGATCCACGCCTACCTGGACGGCGACTGCGTGGAGTGCATGGCCTGCTCGGACAATGTGATACGTGCTGGCCTGACTCCTAAATACAAGGATGTGGACCAACTGCTGGACTCTGTGATCTTTGACAGCGCCCAGCAACGCAAGGAGTTCATCCCATACCGCATAGACGAGCAGGTTCAGGTGTATATTCCTCCAGTCTCCGACTTCGCCGTGATTAGTGTGAGCATTGACCACGCGCTGGAATCGTACAAGCTGGCTATCCAGGCCTACGGCTCCATACTGATAGTCCTGAAGGGATCCCGCACCCTGAAGCTGAAAACCCAGCAGGGCGACAAGGAGATCGTGGTCTCCCGCGGCAGCATTGTGTACATTCCCGTCGAGGCGGCGCCGGAAATCGAGTTCGCCCTGGCCGGAGATTGCGAAGACGAGGACTTCAGCGGGTACATAGCAACCAGCAACTACTTTCGAGTGCCCTAAAATTCTCAGCTAATCTTAAGCTTTTGTAAAGTGCAATAAATCCATAAAAACACTCGTTGCTGCTGGTGAATTTAGTTTATTTTCAAATAATTGCAATTTAAGAGCTAAGAATGTAAGCTAAAGTGGCAATAGTAGCGATAAATAAGTTATCTAATCAATTGGCTATACTCGTTCGTAATACATATAATAGTTAACGAGAAATATCTTGCGCACAAACAGGTAGTTTCTTAAATATTTGCGATTATTGCAATCAACAATTTATGCTTTACTTAAGCTACAGCTACGAAACTCGATCGGTTACATTCACTGGGGATTATGTAGAGGTAAATAGAATAAGCAAGAGGTTCGAGTGCAAATCTAGAGTAATTGTAATTCAATAGAATCGGTGCTTGGACTTGTTGGGCTTACGAAATACCCGTTTACATGGCCTACTTAAAATGGGTTAACAATGGAGAACATAAAATTGGCTACGATATGATACTACCGCCCGTCTTTGTAGTTGCTTTTCGGTTTTCTGTGCCCGGGGGTTGCGGTGGTTCTACGAATTGTAAATACATCATCGATTCACATATATGTATATCCATCTCAGCAGTTGCTTGGTTTGATTTCACAAAGATCGGTAAAATGCTCAAAAAGTTTGTACCACAAAAACAGAGTACATCATACGGTAAATCTCATAATAAAATTGTTTCCGGCAACTTGCGGTTTGCCATTTGTACACGAGTGTAGTAATAGTAAGTAGTTAGTATGTTGGTTCGCATATATATAGTTGTAGAAAGTAGTTGTTAGTTCATCCGGCGGCTCTCTAGTGCTCTTAAGTAGATGCCAGGAGTTGCTGGTGGTTACTGGTGGCTACTTGTATATGTATATAATATATGGTATAAATAACGCAATACCACCTGCTACGGTTTGTGCCCACAACATTGGTTCCATTCCCTTTCTTTTCCTTTCCTTTCCCTTAACAAAGTGACTGACTATCGATTCGGGACGTGTCCTTTGTGCATATTTAACTCTTGAGCAGATTGTTGGCGCGCTTGTTGACCCCATCCATGCGAATGTTGTTGGCATCGCCCTTGGCATTGATGCGATCCACCTGCTTGTTCTGGTTCTCCAGCTCGGAGCCCATGTCCAGCGCCATGTTGCGCAAGTTGCCCAGCATGGAGTTGACCTGTCCCAGGTTCTCGTCCATCTCATCCTCGCGTGCATCGTTCGTAATCCTGGCCACATAGCCGGACTGCGGCGGAGCACCCATGCCCCCGCGTTCCCGCTCATCGATGACGCGCTGCGGCTGGCTGGCCACGATCTTGCCATCGTCGTTGGCCTTCCAGGCGCTCTCGCCGTCGTCCTTTATGTTCACCTTCTTCCAGGGCAGCACGCAGATGCCGCAGCACTTCTCCATGCCACTGAGATTCTTCTCCGCCTCCCGCATGTCCGCGTTGATCCGGTCCATGCCCTCCTCGATCCGGTCCAGCTGCTCGCCCTGGTCATCCAGAGCGACCAGGGTGCGAATGCCCGCCTCCTTGCTCTCGTCCATCAGGCTGAGCATGCGACGCGTGCTCTCCAGGGACTCGTCGGCCACCTGGCCGGACTTGAACTGCAGCTCCTGCAGCTCCGTGCGGGGCTCGGCATTCTCAACGGCGGCCATTTCCGGGCACTGATATCACTTAGAGTTTTCTAGCAAGTGGTTGCGAGGCAAGACGTTTGTCTTGTTGTTTTTGGGTGGGGAAATCTTTAAATCTGGCCAGTGACTCACAGTAGCGAAGCGAAAAACTAGCCTCTCGAGCCGATTTAGCGTGTGACTACGGTGGGTATGTTATGTGGGTGGGGCTAAGCTCGATTGTGCTCGTTACGTAGGAACTTATTCACAAGTTTTTAGTAATTTCTTTGCGAAAATATGATTTTTCACACACAACAAAACGCCAATTTGTATACATATGAGAATTAGAGTGACCGTGCGGGCGGATAATCTTCCAAGGGTGTGACCAGCTAACTACCAAGGTTTGTGTCTTCGCTATGTCTAAGTAAATTTAGTTTTTAGAAATATTTCTGATCAAGTAAGTACGACGAAACAAATCATCAAGGGCTAAATAAAAAAGTTAATTCAACTTAAATTTTCTACTTGCTAGCACTAGTCGTTGTGCAGTTAATAATAATTATTGTTTTTAACACTTCGAGGCCACCAATTTGTCACGACGCCGTTGCGCTCTTCGTTGCGCGCGCAGTGTTGAAAAGTGTGTTTGAAATATTAACGCTTGTTTTCTCGGTACAGCGTCGGTCTTCAGCTGCTCGAATTTTCTATTAATTGGACGTGTTTATTAATTTTTGACCTCCGCGTGGCCAATTGGGCAGAGCATATAACTAGTCATGGACGATTCGCGCAGGTCGATGGCGGGAAAGGCAAGTATTTAGTGGGCTTAGTGGGTGCTCCTTCCGATCCTCCCAAAAACCAGATCCCGTTTTTCGAGCTAACATTTCCCTATCACATCTATTTTCAGATTGATTCCCGTCGCTCATCGATGGCGACCCACGATGAGAGCACCATGTACCTTTCCTTCGACACCGACGACACTTTATCGGGAGCCAAATGGCAGTCGGCCATGGTGACCCAGAGCAGCCAGATTCTGGAGTTGCCGTTGGATGACAAGGACCTCAGGCGCACCGTTTTGAAGGATCTGCAGCAGCTGACAATCGGCGAACCGAGTGACCAGAACTCGCCACTTCGCCCCTTCGACAAGAGCATCCTCAACCGGCACAACGCCCTCAGCTCCACGCCCTCCAAGGACAATGCATCCATAGATTCGCAGCAACATATCATGACCATGGATTTGACCCATGTGGAGGACAAGGAGAACGCCCAGCCGGAAGGGGATAATTCCACTCTGTCCAGTTCTGTGGACTTGACGGCCAATACGGTGAAGGCCAACACTTTGAAGACCGAGGACGCCACCATGGACGAGGTGTCCTTGCAGGAGGCTCCCAAGCCAACGGCTCCGAGTCAAGTTTATCCTTTGAGTGCCAATGTGGTGCTGGAGAATATCACTGAAGGTGGGTGAATGCCCTTAAAAAGATTGAGCCCTCTGTAACTTATTCCTTTGCAGTTTCCAATGAAGGAGTATCCATGCTAGCCTCGCCACCCGCTGAAAAGGAGGTAGCTCAGGTCACCGAGGTGGTAAACGAAGTCTCCGAGCTAATAGCCAAGGCCCTCAAGATGTCCAGCGATTCCGTGAAGCCATCTTCCTCCAAATTGAAAGTGGAGGTGGGCAAGAAGAGGCAGTCCATGACCTCCACCTACTCGGGGGCCCTGCCACGCCCCCGGCGCTCCTATATGCCAACCAGCAGCACCAGTGGCGAGACGCGCACCTACTCCTTCAAGCAGCGCATGTCGGTGGTGGTCAAGACCACGCTGAATAGTCCAGCCCGCAAGCTGAGTGCGGGTGGCGGCTTGGCTGTGAGCCGGCGCAGCTGCTTGCCCGTCTCCAAGTTGTCGAAGGGCGGCAATCGCAAGTCTCTGGCTGTGACCAACGGCCGTTCGCCGCCCAAGAGCACCACAAAGTTGGCCAAGCCGCCAATTAAATCAATTCCCGAAACCGTTTTCAATTGCAAGACGTGCGCAGCCCCTTTCCGCCTCAAGTCGCTGCTCGATATGCATATGCGCATGCACGACCTGGTGGACAACGGACCCAAGACCCTCAAGCGACTGAACACCAATCCGCCGGCTGCGGCAGGTGGCTCCAAGAATCGCTGCAAGTACTGCGACAAGAACTTTGCCCTGGAGCGCGCTTTGCACATCCATCTGATGAAGAACTGCGAGAAGATACCGCCGGCCGAGAAGCGCAAGCTGGAGTTTACCGAACTGAACCACGAGAAGAAGGCCCAGCTGCCGAAGGTCGGTTCCACAAATGTGATTAACCAGCCAGCGGCAGTGACAGTGCCGCAGAAGCCACAGCAACGCATGAGCACACTTCCAAGAATGGGTAATGTTTCCTTTAATGCATCTCTAAGAAACCCTTTTTATACCCTTGCAGAGGGTATTATAATTTTGGTCAGAAGTTTGTAACGCAGTGAAGGAGATCAGGATCTTGATCAGAATCAATAGGGGGGAGTCGATATAGCCATGTCCGTTTGTCCGTCTCTGTTTTAATACCATTTGCGTGCTCAGTTTAAAAGCTAGCGCCTTAAGCAGATCTAGTTTGAAAATCGACCCGATCGGACGTCTATATCCTATAGCTCCCATATGAATAATCGGGTATAACTTGCAAAATTCGCAGTCTAAAAGCTATTGACATGAATCCTTCCAAATCGTATTTTTTTGTGCATACCTTGATCAGGGTAAAAGCGCGTGCCGATCGGACGTCTATATCCTATAGCTCCCATAGGAACAATAGGGTGAAAAGTTTAAAAATTGTTTTTTTTTAATTATGAAATATCTTGTTGATTAATTAATGTTGCTATTGTAGTCAAATTTTAATTCGTGAAATCTGCAAGGGTATTAAAACATTGGCTTGCCGAAGCTAGCTTCCGTCCTCGTTTAATTACAAATAATTTCTTTTGATCAACAGCTTCCTTGAGTGGCGCGCAGTCCATGGCCCCGCCGTCCGTGAAGAAGGTGCCCAAGAACGTTGCGCATGCCGGAGTCTATCGCACTCCCACCAAGACTGTGCCCTGTCACATCTGCAAGCAGTCCTTCAAGAGCATACTGGAGTTCACCAACCACAGCCTGACCGTGCACGCAAAGGGCGGAGAGAACGCACAGAGTGCCAAGGATTAAATCAAACGATTCGCGTGTAGACTAGTCTAGGTCTAAGTTAAATGTACTTTAATCTCTCCCAGTTTAAATGCACATTAACCTAATCACTTGCTCTTCTTTTCGGGCGGTGGCTTCATGTCCACACCCTCGGTTTTGATATCCAGCGGTCCAGTGGCGTTGTTCAGTTCGGAGTTGGGATTACCAGCGGCGTTTAGCTCATCGCCCGCTGGCAAAGGCTGCTGGAGATTCTGCAGCATTGGCGGTATGGGTGGGGGAAATTTGCGCAGCAGTTCGGCGAGCAACATGTCCACACGCTGCTTCTGGAATAGAGTGCCGCTGTTTTCGTCCTTTGCCGCATTGGCGTCCTTCTTATCCGACTTGGATTTGTCGGACACTGGAAGTATTAATTAGTTATTCTCGGGAGATACTCTTTAGAGCCCTGCTTGAATGGATTCAATGAATTATTTTGAATTTTTTGGTTTATATGAATTAATTTGAATTTTGAGTTTAATATAATTGAATGGCATGAATTCCGAAATAATTCAAAAGACAATTTCTTTTGAAGAAGAAAGGACCATAATTTTGTTATTAAATCTGGATGAATTTTATTTTCTAAGCAGTTAACATTGATTTGCTAAAAATGTTCCACTTTTTGTTCTCAAAAGAAAGCACAAAAAACATCTGGCAAATTCAAAAAATTCATAAAAATTATTCATTCATGAAATGAAATATAGAATTGAATTAATCAAATCCGAAATTTCATGGCATTCAATGATAAAACAAAAATTGAATGATTCACGCAGGGCTCTAAAACTCTTGAATAGATCCTACTTACAGACTTTGTTGGAGGAGAAATCCCACGTGTAACCCTTGTTGGGATGATAGCGGGCATAGCTGCTGGCTTCCTCGAAGGCGGATTGCAGGTTCACCACGGTGTTGAGCTGGAAACGTAGCCATTAAGCAGATGCTTGGATGATCCGAGGGATAATACCTACTATTCGAGCATTAATGACGTTGGCCAGATCGGGAGCCTTGTAGACGGTGCCGCCGATGATGTAGTAATCGGCTATGGGCGTCGCCTCCGAGGGATTGTGCCGGTGCTGCTTTCGGATCACATAGAGGATGGGCTCTGCGACGTGGAGGAGGATGTACTCCAGGCCGATCATGTTGCTGGAACGAGGGAAAAGCGATTAATTTCAAAGGAATTATAAAGAATTATAATTATATATACTGCAGGTGCTCCGGACCGAGGCGCTGCATCCGAACGGTCTCGTTGTTGCACATGTGATCGTAGAAGGGATTCGACTTGCGGCAGAAGTAGTCCATGACGCTCTGCGGGCTCAGGGTGGCCATCATCTGGGTGTCGTGCCAGGAGAGGCGCAGGTGGTCGTTCGCAATCTGTCGGCCGGCCATTTCGGATGCACGTGCTCTTCGGTGGGATGTGGGAAGTGGATGCAACCACTGCTACTACAACTGCAGCGTATTCTCGCTTGGCAATGACAACGACTAATTTGTGGGTCAATGACGTTGCGAGCGCTTCTTTTTCCTATTCCTATTCCTAGCGATCGCTTTGTTTACAAGCTATTTTCGGCCGCACGCTGCCGATTGGAAGCTGTCGGTGGCACTTTTTTGATTTATTTGTTGTGTAATAATTAATTTAGCAGGCTGTGGCGCGCGCTGCTCTCGCTTGGCCAACTCCCCCGTTAATACTGTAAGTTTCCTGCTGATTAATTGCCTCGTATACCGCAGTTTTATTGTGTTTTCTACTTGTGTTTTCGCTTTGCGCTCGTTAAAAAACCATTTTGTTGTTATTTTCGCTTGGTCAACTGCTTGCGCTTGGCAACACTGTCCGCTGGCGGCCTAGTGTTGGACACTGCATGCGCAACGCCAGGGTGGCAACGCTCTGCTTAAGGCGGAGAAGAAGAAGCAGCAGGGGCGCAGCGTCTGCGAAAAAGTTTAAAAATAAACAAATTCCGTTTTAAATCAAACTGATATTCAATTTTCCGGGCGCGCAGTCAAAACGTAGCAGCAAACACGCACACATACAGAGAGAGAGTGAGATTATTGGGCGAAATTTGCGCTCTCACACGGAACTTCTGGGACGTCGCCTCATCAATATTGGGAACCATATCAGTTCGTTCTGTTCACTTCGTCGTGGCGCACGGGAATCAGAATCAGACGCCCAGCAGCGCAAAGCTCTCGCAATGGTAACCAACTCATACTCATCCGATCCATTCAGTTATTTGGCCAAATCAATAGTAAACCAGACCTCTTGTACAAAAGAATCACCCACTACACCACCCACTACTCATCTTTGTACATCGTACATACATACATATTCTTATGAGCAGCGCATACATATACCAGTCAAGGTCGTTCGATTCTCGGCCAGGCGCACATACGAAAACGTTCTTTTTTTACGCCTCACCTTGATTTTCAACTATATGTTCGTCGTGCGTGTGTTTCTGTGCCGTTTCCATGACTGCCAGTCTTTGTTTATTCCAATACCTTGAGTACCCCGTGTAAATAACCGCCCAAGTGTTATGTGTGCCAGGATGATCGGTGTTGGGGTGGGTACTAGCTTTTTGTACCTTGGTAAGGTACAAGGTACCTGGGGATTAGTTAACCAAAAGGTACATTTACCTTGAAACTAGCTAAAAATTACATTTATAGCCGCTTTTTCAACCTTTTCATACAAAATTTTACTGAGATCGTTCCATTCAAAAAATCATAAAAAATACAAGGAAAAATATTTTGAAATTTTTTTTTTGCAGTCATTATTAGTTTTGATTGGGGAAAAACTTTGCATCAAAACATTTTTGATTTAAGCCCCAGGAAAAAAGTTGAAAATTTGACTTTCACAAAATTTGCTCACTTTTCAAAGGGGTCTTAATGGGTTAAGAACATTTTTGTGTAATTTAAACGAAATTGAAGTGCTCTTTCTATAGGTGCCAAAAGTTTATATTAAAAGTTCTATATGTGACTACAGTTAACATTAAAATCTGTCAAAATAATTATGCCGACTAGTGTAGAATTAAATGCAATGTAAGAATTACCTGGGTATAAATATCTATCGAAATACCTTGAATGTAAGAAATACGTGGGTAGAAATATCTATCAAAATATCTGGAGTCCTTGAAACCACTATTAAATATATCATATCGAATTTAATGCAATGTAAGAAATACCTGGGTAGAAATATCTACGTATTCCCCCCACACCGTTCAGGATCTTCTCCGTTCCGAAACGACTCAATTCTATTCTCTTCTAGATTGTCGCACACTTAGTAGGCTCAAGCGGATCCCCTCCAGATCCACAGAGCCGCAGTCCGTTTCAGCGAAATGCGCTACATTAAACCGGAGCCGTACTATGAAGTAAACGAGCAGCAGACCTCAATCTCTTCCAGCCTCTATAACCCAAGACCTAAAATCAAATTAAAACTCATGATCCCACCATTTGCAGGGGCTCCCACCATTCAATGTCAGCGGCAGTCCGTTCAACGTGGTGCCCATCCACAACTACCCGGAGCTGATGAAGGACACCTGCGCCCTGATCAACGCCGAATGGCCGCGCTCGGAAACGGCGCGCATGCGCTCTTTGGAGGCCTCCTGCGACACCCTGCCCTGCAGCCTGGTCCTGACCACCGAGGGCATGTGCCGTGTGATCGCTCATTTGAAGCTCAGTCCGATTAACTCGAAGAAGAAGGCCTGCTTCGTTGAGTCCGTGGTGGTGGACAAGCGGCACCGCGGCCAGGGATTCGGCAAGCTGATCATGAAGTTCGCCGAGGACTACTGCCGCGTGGTCCTGGACCTCAAGACCATCTACCTGTCCACCATCGACCAGGATGGATTCTACGAGCGCATCGGCTACGAGTACTGCGCACCGGTCACAATGTACGGGCCGCGCCACTGCGAGCTGCCCAGTTTGCAAAATGCCAAAAAGAAATACATGAAGAAGGTCTTATAGACATCAACGCCAGCCGTAGGAGTAGGGGGCTTAGCCAAACCCGATCGGCGGGTGGCAGTGAACTAGTCAAATTGGCAAACGCTTGAAATTCTTTACGGGCTCTTGCCTGCCGAGCCATTTAACCTGTGGGTGGATGCCAGTCTGTCTGCCAAATCCCTCGGGCAAACTGCGAGGCAGAAAAAGGCTTTTGATTCCATTACACCGATAAGCAAACATTCACCGAAACGCTTGTGTTGATTTTTAAATATTACTTTCCGCATGTATTTTGTAAACTTTTTGGTTCTTTTTGTATGACAAAGGTGACCCAAACCGCGGGCTGTTCGGTACATGTATAAGGCTAATGTTAATGTTTAGCTATTATCACTTTTGTTATAGTTTTGCTCAAGCGTGTGCAATGTGCATAGTTGCTCCTAGACGAATATCTACCTGCCTGCGATGATAATAAGAAGCTCAAGTATCTTCCAACGAAACATAGCATATAGACATATCGAGCCCTAGCATTAAGCACTCAACCAAGGCAATAACTTCCAATAAAACGTGTAGAAACTAAAGGTCTGTTTTGTTTTTTGTTTCTGGGCGGAAGTGCTGGTGACGACGGAAATGCCTGTCTGGCGGGATGAGCGATGCGATGAGATGCAGCCAAGCGACAGATGACAAGTTCAAGTTCAAGTTGATTTTATTTTGGCGCAGCCAAATTTGACGGGGGCTCGGTGCCCAAATGGTTAATGCCCGCCCAGCGAGCGTCATGTTTGTGTTACAGAAATAACCCGCAGTGATGTAAGGCAACTAGAGATCGCTCTCTATATCTCTCGGCTGCCAAAAATCCGACTATCTACTATGTATGACTAGGGTGCGGCATGCGGCTCTCCTCTTCTCTCCCGCAAAAGCGGAAGCTGTTGATCTCTGCTAGTGATCTTTTATGGTTACACATTTTTTAAATACCTGCCAGGCGTTTGGCGCGACAGGTGCTAATGTGGCGACATTTCGATTGTCCGCTGCCAAGGCGAATCCACACGTAAAGGCAATTAAATTCGTGTCTTCTAAAATGGAAAGTTTATTGTGCGCTCACATTACACATTACGGGTATGTAGACATTTGGCGAATTAATAGGACTACGACAGGAATATCAAATTAAATTTGTACGTCTCAAGCGATCAGCTGCAATTGGTCATGGATGATGGGTTTTTGATTCTAGGCACTCTTGGGACTCTTGCCGATGCCGCACACCTTGCCGTAGTGCTCCGGCTGGTCCAGGCTGTCGATGATGAACTTGCCCAGATCGTATTTGGACACCAAACGTCCAGGAGCCTCGTCGTGCACCACGGTGTAGGCGGTGGCCGGCTCATCGGCGATGTGCGGCGGCAGGATGGCGATGTAGTCCAGTCCGGAGGCCTTGGTTAGGTCCAGCATGCGCTGGTGCTCCTCGTTCAGGCGATGGAACACGGCGGGCACCTCGTTGAGCGGACGCAGCAGGAACGAGGACATGACGATGGAGAACTTGGAGAGCTTGGCCTCCTTCATGGCCCGGATGAGGTTCTCGGTGCCGCGGGAGAGCTCGGTGGTGGCCTCCAGCTTGTTGCGGGTGCCTAGTACCACGGCCACTGCCTCCACGCCCTCGATGAGCCGCTGCACATCCTCGTAGTTGGTCACATCGCCCTTGACCAGCTCTACTTTGGACTTAAAGCGTTCTGGGATGGTCTTTTCGGTGCGATAAAGTAGTTTCACCGAGAGACCTGCAAAATAAGGGGGATTAGTAGGAGGTTTTTGACCTGTGGGTTCGTCATTTACCCTTTTCTAGGGCGTGATCCACGGCGCACTCGCCGGTCATTCCAGTTCCTCCGATAATAGCAATGCGTTGCATAATGCGGCTGTTCCTAAATCCTCAAGGGAATCGAATGCGATTAGTCCAGTCTTCTGTGGGGTGTCCAAAAGTGCAGTCTCACCTGTGCTTCGGGCGTTACTTATCTATCAAAAGTCCAAATCACAAGTGAATCCAGCAATTGCCTCGCATTCTCACCTCACCGGCTGATTGTACCTGTCTCTCTCGCACGCATATAGCAAATATACAGTGATCTGTATGAAGAGTGAACTTTTTTTTATGAGAAACTGTTTTAAAAGGTAGCAAGATCTTTATGAAAATTGAAATATTTCCATTAAACTATGGCATATTTCAAAAAAAATAAATAAATTTTTTATTTGTTATATTAAATCCTCTGTTTCTAATGTTCACTGCTTCGAGTGAGCACTGTACTGCAAGTACGAAATGTATTTCTATATACCATATATATTTCTAATAGCCGTGATGATAGTGTATATCATATCTGGCGATAACAATTTTATTTACAAACGTTAATGCTCTTTGTCATGGTGATTAATATTAAAATTAAAGGGTAAGTTGGTGCAATTTTAAATTAAGGCGCATTTTCTCAGTCTGGCAACCTTGCCCGCTCGTTTCAGTGTTGTAAACTGCGGCGCAGTCAAAAGTTTAACCGCCAAATGGTTACGCCTGCGATTCGGATTCCTCGGAATAGGGATTATCCGCCGGGTTTTTGACCCGTCTCAGGGTTATTCCCAGCTTCAGTTCACTGAGGAAGTCGGTGCTTGCTGGCTTACGTTCCGGACGCGGCTTGATGCCGCTTATGGTGGCCGCCTTTTGATCCACTTTCTGTAAGAATCGGAGGAGGATTAGGTTTACTGCTAAAAAAGTGGTTTAACTACAATACCTTGAGTGTTACTCCCTGACGGATGCTCGCCAGGAAGGCATCCCTTGGATCTCCGCCGGCGGCGGCAGCCGGAGCAGCCTGGGGCAGTGACTTCTGCATTGGAGGCGGCGGCGGAACTCCAGCCAATCCTCCTGGTGGAGGCGGCGGCGGGGGAGGTGCTCCGCCCGCAGCGGCAACTGGCATAGGAGGCGGCGGCGGCGGTGGTGCTGGAACTCCTGCAGGTGCTGCCTGGGGAGCTGGCGGCGGAGGAGGAGTCATCTTTGTACTCTGCACCGGCAGCGGCGCCATATAAGCAGAGGGAACCCTAGAAGTCGGCTTGGCTGGAGGAGCAGGAGGCGCTGGCTTGGCAACAGGAGCATACTGCACCGGGGACACGGCATACAGCGAGGATCCCGTGGAACTGGGCACTATTGTTGGCTTTGGCGGCGCTGGCGGCGGGACGCGCATGGAGCCCACCTTTCGCTGCGGCGCAATGGTGGCATAGGTCTCATTGGACACCTTGGGCGAGGCAGCAGGTCGCACTTGGCGTATATCAATGGCTGCTGGATAGCCGCCATGTGTGTTCTTGGCCATGACCGCCGACGGAGGCGGCGGAACCTTCGGTCTGCTCATCTGCTGGGGTTGGACATGAACGGGAATCACTGCTCCCACTTCTGGCTGACTAACAGGTGTCGGTGCACCGGGCAAATCCAGATCTGAGATATCCACAAACCGCGAAGTCAGCGAGGCGTAGTTGGAGAAGTTTGGAGCCGCCGTGGGCTTCGAAATGTTAACCACGGAAGGCGGTGGCGGCGAGGGAGGAGGCGTGATCTGGTTGTTCGTGGAAATGGTGGCATAGAGCAGCGGTCTAACCGTTTCCTGGACTTTCGGCTGGGCCTGAAGATCCCTCTTGGGTGGCTAAATAGACAAAAAAGATAAATTAAAAGATTCTACTGCGAAGCAACCACCCACCATCCATGTAAAGTTGGAGTGGATAATTTTCGTGACCACATCCTGGTGTCGCATGTGGCTGATATCCGCCTCCGTGATGCCCCGCTCCATCATGTACTTCCTGAGCACCTTGTCGTTGGAATCGGCACTCAAATCGAAGGCATTTCGCGTCCGATCCCGCGTCACATCGCCGGAAACGTGCTGGAAGTTGACCGGTCCGCTGATCTCGTACTTGGAGCCCTTGCTGCTGACCAAGACGCTGGTGGCGAAGCTGGGACCCGCCAGGGCCACCGAGGGCGGTGCGCCCGCATACCTGTCCAGGCTGTTCGAGGAGGAGGAGCTCTTCATGCCGTCGATGCTGGCGTTGGTGCTCAAATTGTCGGCGTAGTAGGGCGGCGGACGAACTGCAGGCGGCGGATGGGCAAAGACGTCGGTGCTCACTTGCATGGAAGGTGGCTGCAAAGAGAAGAGACGGCGGCGTTCAGGACAGGGCTGTCTAGCTGATGATGCTGATGATGAGGAGAGGAATGCTGGATATTACCACCCAGTAACCGGGAGCCTTATTGCTCCTAATTATGTCATAGACGTAGGCGCGCCGCATGATAGCCGGCAGGCGCTCGAGGTCGTCGGACAGGTTGGCCTTCCTTAGGTACAACTGGAGCATTTCATCGGTGCCCTGGCCCCGCAGATCGAAGGTCTTGCGGAAGTCAATGGCCCGGCCCTCCAGTTGCCGAAACTCCACGGGCTCCGAAATGTAGGCGTATGTGAGATCCTCCATGGCGCTGGAAAAGCGGATACGTAGTTGGTAGCTGCTTTAGTACGGAGCTGCGAAAGGAGGAGGAGGAGCCGCCCGTAGCCGTCTTGCGTCCACAATGGCCCGCCGCATTATCTAGTAGCCAATTTGCAGATAAGAATTGCTGGCGCAACTTGGGTTTTTTATCAATTTCGGATTCGGATCGCGCTGGGCCTTCGCCGGGGTGACTCATCGCTAGTTTTAGTAACCAGGTTAACCGGATAATTCAAGGCTTTCGTGGAGGAGGAGGAGCAGGATCCCTAGACCAATTACCGTGTGCACCGGAGCAGCTGTGTCCAGGGATTCGGCAGATCCTAGACCGGATTGGAGGGTATAGGATTGGCAGGCGCTTTTGAACGGCACAGAGAACCTTGTGGGACTGATTAACGGCGGCGGTATGTCATGTTAGGCACTGCGTTTACTCATTTCGCGAAGCGCCTTATCTGGAGCCGAGGCACTGGCAACTGATAACTGGGGGCCAGTAATCACCTGGGCCAACGACGCTGACTCCGACAGCCTGAGCCAAAGGAAAACATAAACAATTGGCGTAAACTATATACATTTTGCTGGAGAGGTCTATGATATGATATGCGATTTGGCTGTCAAATGCCTTGCAAGTTAAGTAAGTCCAGAATCAGAAAATTGACTAATGACTAATGTCTGCAAAAAGCGGAAACGACGTTATGAACTATAATTATCGCATTCCAAGAGAATGAAGTAGAGATACTAAATATCCAATTCTTGGTAATTAAGTTTGATCAAGCTTTACTTTATAATGATTGCCATGGGTTGAAGCATTACTTTTCTGATCTTATCTATTTTATTGTATGTAATACTCTAGTTTACGGTCCTTACCACCAAAATTCGAGAAAAAATTATCCTCGACGGACCGCGAATTCTTAAGAACTTGCATAAAGAAATATAGGCGCGGACTGCCATGTTTTCTCTTGTAAATGAATTTCCAAAAATCTCTGTTAAGTTTGAAATAACTTTTCTAAATACAACAGAGACATCCATTATCCTGATGATTTCTTTAGGTACTTCTGCAGATTTGAAAACCTTTTAAACCCTCATAAAAACCCTATCGACAGCTCTTCCGAATCGAAAGTTCCGATAAGAACTATTTAAAAACCTAATCCCTGCTAGAAACCCTATAGAGTTGTTCGTTGTCATAGAGTTTACTGTCAATCCTGCCAATTTTCTCGGTCGACGGAGAAAGCAAATTTCATTTCCCTACTTATCAGCAGCCGAAACGTTCCTTACAAATTTTTTAAAGAACATTTTCTAGAGCTAGGAAAATTTCCAATTTTGTTATTTTGTTGAATATCTGGCCAACTGAATTCATACTTTTGAAACCCCATTTTGAGAGTTCTCCCAAGTGATTCCACCTAGAGTAACTTTTAGCCATGAAGATCAAAGTGTCGGGTGAATATACGCTGGCCGAGATCGAGGTGGATGTGGACACCCAGTTGACGCCCGAGGATCTGCAGCCCGGAGCCACAGTGCTGGCATCCAACGAGGGCGTCGGCGACTTGGAGCAGATTGTCAGTCACGAGGAGCTGTCCAGGTTCTTCACGGTGACCCCAGCGACCCCAGCCATCCCCATGTCCACGGATGTGGTTGTGGAGCGCACCCTGGCGGATCCGGCGCTCAAGCAGATCCTGCAGGAGGCCGACGGCAAGAAGGGCTTCGATCCCCAGGCGGAGCAATTGAAGATACGCGAATTTTTGGCTGGGGTCACCAGCAGCAAGATGACCACCGAGCAGTCGGTCTTTCAAGGTAATCCAATGGGAGTATATTTATTATACCCGTTACTCGTAGAGTAAAAGGGTTTATTGTATTTGTGCTAAAGTATGTAACAGGGAGAAGGAAGCGTTTCCGACCCTATAAAGTATATAGGGTCAGGGTCTCAAGCCGAGTCGATATAGCCATGTCCGTCTGTCTGTCTGCCCATATGAACGTTGAGATCTCGAAAACTACAAAAGCTAGAAGGTTGAGATTTTCCACACATGTTCTTGGGCTTCCTACGAAGCGCAAGTTTATTTCATCTGAGAGCCACTTCCACAATCGCCCCCTAACGATTTTAAAATGTGTCCGGCGTCCAGACCTTTAAATATTTCCGAGAAGAATAAATGCAATTTGGTTGTGTATATTTATACCTATCGATATGTAGAAGAAATTTTTTAAATCGGACCATTCATTAAAAAGTTATGCGCAATCAAAAAATCTCCATCTCCCTCGCACTTCCATTAACTAGCAAATTTTAATTTTTTTTCTTCAGGACCTCGTACCAATTTGTCTGCGGCTACTGGTAGCCGGATGAAGTGCCCCCAGTGTCTGGTCATCTACGATGCTGTGGCCTTCCAGAGTCACTCCTGTGAGACAGAGGTCGATCGGAAGCCCATTGATCTGGCAGTTGTCCAGCAGGAGACGCCCCTTTGCTTTCCTTCCGCTCCGCCTGCTCCGCCCAGTAAGCCAGGCAGCGAGCGTGTGATCCTGGAGAACCAGGTGCGTCTGCGTCGCTACATGAAGGATGAGATGAAGTACGACCTGACCACCGGCAGCGATAGTTCGCGCGGCAGGAAGTCGACGAAGGGTCCGAACGAGTGCACCATGTGCGATCGCAAGTTTGTGCATCCCTCGGGATTGGTGCGCCACATGGAGAAGCATGCCCTGGATTTAATTCCCTCACAGGCCAGCCTGCCGCCTCATACAGCTCCTCCGGCTGCCGGTCTGCTGGTCGTGGTGAAGTGCAACGCCTGTGGCCGCATCTTTTACGATCCGCAGGTGGCCCTGGAGCACGGACTCATTCACTATCCCGAGCATCTGCCGGGGATGTGTAAATTCCAAGAGAGTCAAAACTGTAAAAGAGATTTCAAGGAACTCCTCCTTGAGGGAGAGATGCTGCTGGCCAGCGAAGTCACCGTAACGGCCACCCAGCAAAAGCGACGTGAGAAGGAGCTGTTCACCAGCCTGATCCTGGGCAGCGTTTTGCAGTGCGAATTTTGCGAGTTTGTCTTCGCCGACATCGCCGAACTGCTCGTCCATTCGGCCTCCCATGTGGCGGAGCGGCGTTTCGAGTGCACCGCCTGCGACATGCAGATGAGCACGGCCAAGGAGGCCAGCATTCACTTCCAGACGGACTGCATCTTCATGCGCGAGGCCATTAGGTCGCTGAATGTAACGCTGGGTCGCTACTTTGTGTGCAATGTGTGCGAGCTGAAGTTCGCCAACACGGAGCTGCTGCAGGAGCATCGGTGAGGATAAGGTATTAGGTACTTAAATCGGGATAATCTAAATGATCCACCTACTAGATACACCTCCTATCACTACTTTCCGCGCCTCAGCGAGAGCGGCAAGAAGCTGCTGCTGCCCTGCGAGTTCTGCGAGGTCAACTTTGAGTTCGCCCACGAGATCCTGGCGCACAACGAGGAGAAGCATCTGAACAAGAAGAAGCGCGAGAAGGAGACCCGCAACACGGGCGCCGGTCGCCTGCGTCAGTATTTGTGCGACATCTGCGGCAAGTCGTACACCCAGTCGAGTCATTTGTGGCAGCACCTGCGCTTCCACCAGGGTGAGTATATTTTTATACCCTTGCAGAAGGTATTATGATTTCAGTCAGAAGCAACTCAGTGAAGGAGAACTTTCCGACCCCATAAGGTATATGTATTCTTGATCAGCATCACTAGACGAGTCGATCTAGCCATGTCCGTCTGTCCGTCTGTCCGTCTGTCCGTCCGTTTCTACCCAAACTAGTCTCTCAGTTTTAAAGCTATCGGCTTAAAACTTTCCCAAAAGTCTTCTTTCTATTGCAGGTAGTATATATGTCGGAACCGACCGGATCGGACAGCTATATCTTATATAGCTCCCATAGGAAGAATCGGAAAGAAAACGTTAAAAATGCTAGCTTCGGTGTTTTTTGAAATATTACCTTCTACTCTTGGGAATATTTTTTTTAATTATTTCTGAATTTGGAATATAATACTTAAAAAATCGTACGACTATATCATAAAGCTGCCATAGGAACGATCGGAAAATTAATAGTAATAGGAAAAAAATTGTAGCTTCTTTGCTTTTTATGGTATTATCTTCTACTCTAGGATATGACTCTTTTTAAATATTTCCGAATTTCAATTTTAATTTGATCAAAATCGGACGACTATATCATATAGCTGCCATAGAAACGATCGGAAAATTAATAAGAAATAATAGGAAATCGAACAATTTTGCGATTTGTAAATTAATAGAAATGATCTGCAAGGGTATATAAGCTTCGGCTGGCCGAAGTTAGCTTCCTTTCTTGTTAGTAGATTAGATGCAACTCCAGTTTCTCCACTTTCCAGGTGTCAAGCCATTTGTGTGCCAGGAGGAGAACTGCGATCGCAAGTTCACCATTCGACCGGATCTCAACGACCACATCCGCAAGTGCCACACGGGCGAACGACCATATTTGTGTCTGGTGTGCGGCAAGCGCTTCCTCACCGGCTCTGTCTTCTACCAGCACCGCCTGATCCATCGCGGCGAGCGGCGCTACGAGTGCGAGGAGTGCGGCAAGCGCTTCTACCGGGCGGATGCGCTCAAGAACCACCAGCGCATCCACACCGGCGAGAAGCCATACAGCTGCTTGTTTTGCACCAAGACCTTCCGGCAGCGCGGCGACCGGGACAAGCACATCCGGGCGCGACACTCGCATTTGGACGCCAACTCGCGGCTCATGATGCAGATGCAGAAGTTCCAGCTGGAGTCGGCCGCAGCTGCTGCTCAGAAGGGGCAGACGCTCAGTCCGGAGCAGCAGGTTCACCAGGTGGCTGGTGAGGCGGTGGCCTCGGGATCAAGTTCCGCTGAGGCGGGCGAGGGGGCCATTCAGTTTTCGGTCATTACGGAGCAGCCGGAGGAAATGATGTGCCTGCCAATGGGCGAGGTGAACGATAGCTTTCTGATGTCGCATTATGTTGAGGGCGTTCCCTTGGAGGCGGATGGCTCCCAGCAGCAGATAATTGTCTTCGAGCAGCCGGTCCAGGGCATGGAAATGGATGTGATGAGCATGTTCGACCCGCAGCAGGGTCAGGAACAAATGCCGGAAAATGCCAGGGTGGTGGTTGTCAAGAACAATCCCTCCCAGCCGCGGTTTTCCGACACCTATATGTAATATTTAAATTTGAATTTAAATTTAAATAAAGCGCCATAGCAAGTGACGAAACCAAACTCTGCTGCCACTCTTTTTCCTAGCGGGTACTCGCTCCTCACCAGGGTTGTCATCCTTTCGATAGTATTTAAGTGGTTAGTATTTATTTAGTATTTTCCCAGCGAATGGTATTTTTTCTTGTCCTCGGCGCGGTCACACTGCTGGTTCCTTTCTTTTCGAATTTCTCGTGGAAAACGCCAACATGGGTTTCGCTACTCTCTGGTACTCGCATCCCCGCAAATACGGCCAAGGCTCCCGATGCTGGTAAGATTTGTGTGGCCCGCAGCCTGGCGCTCGGTTTGATGTACGATTTGTTTAAATGCTTGCCCCGTAACCCCGTATTTTGCACGATTTTTGGCATGCTTGTAGAAAGTGAGGTTATTCACGGCCCGCTTTTTTTCACGCATGGCGTCTGCCAATTTGTATTGCTTTTTGACTTGATTTTGTAGTCGTTAATCGTTAGATGATCACTGGCTTTTGCCCCCGGTTGAGTACGGAAATACGTGTTTAAACAACTTGAACAGTTTCCTTAATTAAGGGTGGCCAAAGTAAGAGCTGCACGAGGCAAACAGAGCGATTTCTATTCTAGGGAAAATGCTTCAGCCAAATGCAGCGACAGCTTTGCTTGCTATTTATATAGGAAACTGTGCCAAGCTACTAGAAATACCCTATAGAACCCATATAATCATGGTTTATACGATCTCTTTCCAGCCGTGCCTGCTCTAACCGCCACGGTCTGATCCGCAAGTACGGCCTGAACATCTGCCGTCAGTGCTTCAGGGAGTACGCCAACGACATTGGCTTCAAGAAGGTGAGTTATCCACAAATTCTACAATTTCTAATTACTAATATCCTCTATTTTCCCCCCTTTAGCTGGACTAAATATGTCCTCTTCGCCGTTTGGCACGCCTTAATCGCGTCGCAAAACAACATTCGGCATATTAATGCAAGCAGTCGTCGTCGGAAGTTCTGGGGACTCCTTATATTAATATGCCGGCAGCAGCAACAACAAGCAACAGCAGCAACAACAACATAATCATTTGGGGATTTAAGCAAGGACAAAGCACAGATTGGACAAACCGGCTCCAAAGTAATCTCTAAGCAAGTAACCAGAACGGCCAACACCACAGAATTCCAACCGTTTACCACCTTCCGCGAAGGATCTTTGTTAAAACACTAGTTTGTTTAAATCTCCGTCTGATTAAACCCATAACAAGAAACGTATTTACTCTTTTGTGTCATAATTTGTGCCATTATTATAGCGGTCGAGAAAAGATTATGTCGTTTGTGAGCTTTAATCTCGGTGGGCATCTGCATGTTTGTGTCGACAGATGCCGGAAAAGTGTGCATTTCCCTGTCTTTGAACTGCCGAGTGATCAGTCAGTCAGTCTGTGTCGCCTAATAACACATTAAGCCGCTACCAAAACAAAAACATAACCGGTTTGCAACGCTCGAGACCGGGTCATCCCCAAACTTTAGCTCTCTTGAGAAAGAAATCTTGATTGTTGTGTTTTGCGGTGGTTTCTCCTGATGTTTGAAGTGTAGGCCAGCTAAAGGATTTCAATTTAAAGCAGCACCCTATTAAGTGAGCATAGGGAATTGTTCTGCCCATCTTCTGCTTCTCACGTACACTGTAGAACAGCGGTCTGCACCCACACACTAATGAGCTGCCCCGTGCAATTTACTTACACAAATCTAAAACAAAATGTCATTGTATGAGTGTGCCGACCGATCTTTATAAACCTAAACCTTAAATGCACTGAATAAGTTTAGGATCAAACTTTTTTGAGAAGTTTAAGAAGATTTATTGCAAAACAATCTGCATCAAAATTTGTTATCCCAAAGATGTAAGCTTTCCACATACAAGTTCTATATGAATCAAAATTTGATATTCCAAAGTTGTAAGCTTTCTAAACACAATTTATTTATGAATAACGTTAAAGTGTGAGACAAAATTATTACTCACATCAAGTTCATATCAGTAATGTTTATGACATTGTGACTAAAGCTAAGATTACACACTTTAAATATTTGTGGAATTTTTAAAATAAATTAAAATAATTAAAATTGGTAATTTTTCACTCTATGCACAAATATTTAGGTTCTGTGAATATAGCTTCCTCCTCCAACCACAATAACCCAAACTGTCTGATTCCCACTCGAAAGGCTAAGTTTACACACTCGAAATATTTCTGGAATTTGTAAAATAGATTAAAATGATTGAAATTAGTAATTTTCCCTGCATACAACACCACATATATTTAAATCCATGGACACTTTGGAATGCACAAATATTTAGATTGTGTGAATAACTCCCTCCTACAACCAAACCCAAACTGCCTGATTCCCACGCGAATGTGTCAAGAGCGTTTATTTACCTCCATAATTGATGGAGTCCTTTTGGAAAGCCGGAAGCAATCTCCTGGCTGCATGGCTAGTGGCCTGCACTTCCTCATTTCGACGACAGTGGGTTAGTGGTATCCACATTGAGACTGCAGCACCTTCACCGGTGCCAGCCAGCCAAGAGCCCATTATTCCGAGAGTCAGACCAGAGATAAAACCAGTTTTGGGGCGCTAAAGAGCGGGTCAGCCCCGCGCTTAGGCTCTCTTAGCTGCTTTTGTCTGCTGACTGCTGGCTTCGCTGCCGAAATTCGGTATCACGATTTTGCACATTCGCCAATTGGGCTTGCTGGGAGTCTGAAGCGGTCGCTCGGTGTTTAAACAACGCAGTCGCGCTTGCCCAACCCAGTAGCACCTGTATATTCCCAACCACCAGCGATGTGTGATTGCCAGTAAGCGAGTGACACAGACTGCAGTGAAAGGTCAGTGGATCAGTGACCTCTTAAGTGATCGCTTAGCCGCAATGAGATTGATCTGGCTGCAGCTCCTGGCTGCTGGGGGAGCTCTCTACCTGGCCATCGGTTGTGCAACCGCCACCAAGGCATCCACAAGCCGCGGAGTTGCACAATACAAGCTCCCGCTCCCAGCTCCACAGCCAGCCGACGAAACGGCGGCGGTTTCAGGAGCGGATCAGCAGCAGGGTAAGCAGAGTGCATCCAACCAGCGGAGGCGCACTCAGGTCGTCCGGCGGCGCAGGCCTGCCTCCTCCTCCACAACAACCACCTCCACCAGTAGCACCACCACCACCACCACCACCACCACCACCTCCACCACCACAACAACTTCGACCACAAGTGAGTGCAAATAAAAATAAAAAGGTCTAATGACAGACAAGCTGTGAATATATAGTTATAGTAGCTTTGATCTTAGATCAGGCGGACTGCAAACTCATGCAAACTGGTCGAAGATGCTGGCACTGACCTAGCTTTTCGGTTTCGACCATAAAGATTGAAAGTGGTAATGCGAATACAGGCAAGACAGTGACAAAGAAGTTGTCTGAAAAGAGGTAGAGTTGGGTCAACCGATAGATAAGATACCCTTTTTCTTTAAACATGTTTAGAAGAGGTAATAGTAAAGACTATCCATTAAATCATAATATCGCAGGACTAAGAAGTCTCTCAAATGAACATTTTCGAGATGGATAATAATCCCAATATAATAATAATCACCAATAAATAATCCAACATTATTAACCAAAAATCGGATTTTTATTTTGTGCCTTGGACTTTCAATTTATGTATTTCTTTTCCAAAAAGAGGTATGCATAAAATCCACTTAGAAGGCCAATAAAAGATCCAAGATTATTTCAAAACTACAGATAAATTTAAGATAAAATGGTATACCATAAACTCCACTTAGATGCCCAATAAAAAAAACCAAGATTATTTGCCAAAATGCAGATAAATAGCTTTGCCTTGGATTCGCAATTTCATTATTCTGACCGCAATTGTATATTCAAATCGTGGACTAAACCTGATATACCCGTTTGGAGTTCGTTAACGTCGTCCATAGGTGCATAGGTTAGGTGTAAAGCGTCGATAACTGGAGCAGCGGAGCTTTCGAATCGGCTTCAGCTGCAGCAGGAGACCTTGGCTGAGTCCGAACCAGAGATACGGACACAAGGCCGCCAGTTATTGGGGCCTAGGCCTTTGATAATTTGCATAATCACGATCTCTCGGGTTTAGAATACCCATTTCTAGCGGGTCTAAGGGTCTAATTACTTTTTTGGGGTTCCCCGAACTATCTGGTTTTATGGGTTCGAAACTCAAAGTACGATCATCTTTATGGGGAAGTGTCGTTAATCCGGGGATAACGATCTGATCATCACAGTTTTTATCCAAGTTGTTGCAACCAGCCAAGTACCCAAAGTACATACATAATTGCGTTGGGAATCCGGCCTGTGGAGTGGGTGGGAATCGTTGGCCAACAGGCTGCGCTCCACCGGCAATTGTTGATCCATTGTTGGCCCGGCTGAATAATGAACAAAAACCGAAATAAAACAAAAAAAAAAAAACCAAATCAAACGGTCTTTATGAGCGGCGGGAACTGCGCTTTACTTGACGTGTAATGTCTGCTATTTGGAGCAGAAACACTAATGGCCACTGAGCACACCGCTAACCCGCTTTCCACATCCAATCCATCCAATCCCCAGCTCCGCGTCCCAGTTTGGCCAACGGCTTCAACTTCTTCAATCCGAACTTCTGGAGCTTCGGCCAGCAGAGTCTGGTGGCAGTGCGTCCGCCCACCAAGCAGCCCCATCCGCCCAAGAAATTCAGTCCCAAGGAGGATAAGTCCAGCCAGCGAAAGCCGGTGAAGACGACCAGGAAACCTGTGGATCAAAGAACTACTACGACGATGAGACCTTCAAGAAGGACCTCCACAACAACGACAGCAACCACTACAACCCTAAAACCCTCAACGGATGGACCTTTTCGAATTGCCCTGCCTACCCTGAATTTTCCCAGCGATGAGAAGAATAGGGAAAACGACAAGGAGAAGGGCAAACGGGCGGCTGCCGAGCTTCGGTTGAGGTTCGATTGCCCGCGGGAGAACGAGGTGAGGTTCCAGCTCTTCCCCAAGATTTGCAAGGCGGATCGGGACTGCGCCGTGTGGCAGCGGGATGAGCTGTGCTGCGATATCTTCGGAGCCAGCAGCTGCGTCTCGGGGGTTCCCAAGCCTCTGGAGGAGACTCCACATGCTCGTGAGTAGATCTTAGATCTTCTTTGAGTCTATTATTCCAGTTCTTAATCAATGTATTCCTATTACTAGCCATCTTGGGTCTGATACCTCGCAAATGCCCCAGTAGACCGCTGGCGGAACTCTGGTGGGATGTCCAGGAGTGTACCACGGACATGGACTGCTGGCCTCGGGTCTGTTGCCCGGATGGAAGGAGAAGATACTGCCGCACATCGCAGCCAGAGCTCGAAACAGCTCCAGTGCCAGTGAAGCGCTCCTTCGACTACCGTAAGTTCTGTAATAATAGCTCTAGTTACAGTTCTAGATTACAATATTTATATTTAACGCCCACAAGCGCCCACTAGCGATTTTAAAATGTGTCTGGCGCCCATACCTTTAAAGATTTCCGAAAAGTATAAATGCAATTTTGTTGTGTATATTTATACCTATTGAAATGTAGAAGACATTTTTCTAATTGGACCATTCATTAAAAAGTTATACGCAATCAAAAAATTGTATATATCCATCTCCCTCGCACATTCTTTAGCCGCGTATTAGATAGTCGGGACACAAACCCGAATATAGCGTTCTCGCTTGTTTTAAAATTTAATAGGGCGGGATTAATATAATATTGGGATATAAATTCCTATATAGTATGATACAATGTAAAAATTGTATAATATAAAAGCATAGCTCCATTAATTCGATAAGATAAAAAAGCCATTAGGCTATAAGTAGTGATAATATCAGGATATCAATTCCTATCTTACAGTACTACACCTCTTATCAATCTGAACCCAATTTATCTTGCAGTTACGGAATATCTGGAGTGCACGGCACCACCTCCGCCCATTTTTGACCTTCATCCCAAGGCGTGCACCTCCACATTGGACTGCTTTCCGAATGTCTGCTGCCAGGAGGCGGGTCTGCGGCACTGCCGTCCGCCCAAGAAGTCCGTGCTCACACTGATGGCCAACTTCCTGAACGTGGACTTTGTGAAGCGACTGGCCCAGAACATCGTTATCAAGTAGGCCGCGAATTTCCCACTATTTTTTCCACCTTGTGTGCTGTGTGCGTCGAGCGCCTTCAATAGAACCATTTCGAAACTGCCGTGATATCTCGCCCACATTTGTTTGGCCACGCTGATAACCAAAAAGAAGACAAGCCCACACATACGTTTCATATACTTATACTGCGCACTTGGGGTACACCCAATCGATTCGTCGTAATCCTCCATTAATGTTCACCTAGCCTAGTATTAGACATAAGCTGCATTCATAGGCTAACAAAGTAAATGCGAACCATACTATAAACTACGAACGAGGGTTTTTTCACTTCGAGGTCTCGGGGTGTGGTGCCATATGGGCCATCTAAAGTTAAGGTTGTGGGGTCTTTTGTAACCTTACCCCTAGGTCAGCTGAATCGCGAACCTTAAGAAACAGCCGTGGGTTCTTGTTCTTGACTCGTTTCGGTGACATTTTGTTTATATTTAAGGCACTCGCACTTTCATATTAACTACGCGACTAACTTTTATATCTATATAAATGTGAACGTTCACTTGGGGACTCTCAAGCTATAAAGATTTTGGAAGATGTTTGGCAAACAAAAGAGACTGAAAAATAAACCAGCATACAATCATTTATTTTCATGAATCATCTATACTAAGGTTTTAAAACAATGAAATATTATTCGTCATTAGTATACTAAGGAAAAACAACGAAACATAAATGTTTTTGTTATGAATCTTAAAACGATCCAGTAGCTTGCTCTATATTTCCGACCACGACTGTTTTCGTATCTACAAGTCATGAGTTCAAACCGCTGAGCTTTGAAATCCAATTCCCATCTCCAGTCACTTCAGCCTCAGAAGGCAGAAGAGAAGCGACTCAGATTACCATATTGCTCAACTGAATTTAATAGACATATTTACTCGTTGCAAACACGGTGGAAAACACTTGACCATCCGATTTCCACGACGCATATCGCAGAGCACGTATGTTTGTACCTCCAATAAATGAGAATCTAACCTAGAAAGCCCCCGACAAACTGATTACGCAAACCGAAAAGACGCAGCTTAGGTTTCAATTACTTTAATTGGACATTGTGTGTGGAGGGGAAAATGAGAAAACATATGCGAAAATATAAAGAAATCAGTTCGGAGATAAGGGGTTGTCATTCTCTCCAGATCTTCTCTTTTGGGGAAGTTCATTTGGAGCAGCCGCAGGCGGATTTCTTGTCGCCGCCGCACTTGCAGTCAGTTCCGCAGTTGCAGGATCCCTTGGTCGTCTGGGAGGAGCATTTGCATCCTGGAAAAGGAAAGGGTTTGAGAATTAGTATGTTGTGAGAATAACTGGGATCTAGGATCAAGGTTGAACTTGGGTTATAACATATTTTCAGTAAAAATAATACTTTATTTATGATTTAAATTTTAAAACAATCTTAAACTCTTTTTCTATAATCCTGCAACTTATTTCTAGACTAGACTTACCGCTTCCGCATGGGCAAGGCATCTTGAATTGGTTGGTTTTTTCGGGACTGGTTCACTTCACAAAAAATAGAGATGGGCTATTTAGGCCTTTTACTGCACTGAGATGATTCACTTGTTTTTGCTGCTGACCACAACTGATGCACATTGGCCAGATGCTCTCGGTTTTATACACTTCGGAAACGCGGCTTTACACACGGGTCTTTCGATTCGATCCAATTCTTTTGCACACGCCGGCCGGCTCCAAATGGATGGAGCCGTGTGCAGAAGCTTTCTTCGGGTTCGAGTCTCCGCTTTGGGGTTCGTTTCTCCGGTAGCTTGAAAGCTCTTTTTTGTAACTGGGGGGATGCGCAGGCGTCGTAGTCCGATTGTGTGGGGGCGGTGGGTGGGCGGGTCTCTTATCGGAAGCAGAGGATAGGATAGGACGGCCTGCAGCAGAGAGCTAGTCACATCGGGCACCAGATCCTGTCCTGCAACGAATCCCAGTGCAACGAAATGCAAGTAAATACTGCAACGCAATAGGCGAATCCCCAGGAAATCCTGCGGGAAAAGCCCCGTTCGAAGGGACTTCGAATTTGGTCGAAAAACCTGCGACATTTCGCGTGTGTGTGGGTGGCAAGTGCAGTGCAGATAAAATCGATAAATCCAAGTCAAAATAAAGCGAGGAAAATCCAACAGCAAAGAGCGTGGGGTGTGCGAGGTGGAAAAAAAAAAAAAACAAAAGCGAGTGTGAAAACAGTGCGAGAAAACAAAACGGCGAAAAATCGGAAGGCGGGTCGTTCCAAAGGGGGCGTGCCGAAGGTGTAAAGGGTCCACCAGGACAATCAAGCGGAAGTGAGCAGTTACGGGTAGTTTGTTTGTGTGTGTGTGTGGGCGGATGGGCAGGAAACCCGTTCGGAACGCAATGGGACACTCTGCTCACCTTCAAAGCAGGCCTATTAATACCCCCGCGACCCTGGGCAATAATAATCGCAGTGATAATGATGAGGAGATGCCGATGCCGATCTGCCAGTCGACCAAAAAATCAATACCCTTCCTTGGCACATGGCTAAAATTAGCGGCGCACTCTCACGCATTGTTTCCCCTTTTCGAATACCCTTCCACAGGATACAACCACTTTTATAAAAAGTTTGCTTCTTTTTTTGTAAGATTATCAATTTTTAAACCAATTCAGATCGGATAACTAACTGTATTATTCACATATCACTAACTAAGAAATATCAATATTGACTATCCTATTTTAGGATATTTTTTATCATATTACTAAAAATATATTAGTTCCTAAAGCTGTTCGGTCGGATTTCTATAAAAATTTAAGAATATATCAGACTATTTTTTATTTTACCAACCTTCAAATATATCATAATATTATATAAATCGAATAACCTATAAATATATATTATGAAGATGACATATTAAATTTTTATATCAAGTGCAACTTGCTCACAAAATGATCGTAACCTACCGGCCTTATAACATAATATGATAATAACATTAAATAACAGAAATCGAATTATAATTATTAATTAAGAAGATGACCTATTAAGTTTTCTTAATATCACAAAATTATATTCACCTGCCGGCTTTTCCCCAAATCAAGAGTATTTAACCATCGACCTTTACAAGTTAACTTCCTTTATGATTTTTTTTCTCGTTTCGGGACCCTAAAGCAGTGCCACCCACACCCAGGCACACACCCACTCGCCGCCCACCAGCGACCCGGAAAGGTTGTGCGTGCGTGGGCGTTGCGGCCAAGCTGATTTGCTCTTAATCGTTGCAGATAAACGAAAGCATGGCGCCCAAGTAGAGCATTCCACCATCGCCCGACAGCAAGCCAACAAGCTCCAGCTCCTGTTTCTCTCTCAATCTATTTCCACTTCGAAGCCGATAGACCCGAGTCCGCGCATCCGGGATGACGGAGCAGAAGAACCAGGTGACGCGGGCTGCTCCGGAACAGAGCAACGACTACCGGGTGGTGGTCTTCGGAGCCGGCGGCGTGGGCAAGAGTTCGCTGGTGCTGCGCTTCATCAAGGGCACCTTCCGCGAGAGCTACATCCCGACTATCGAGGACACCTACAGACAGGTGAGTGGGTAGCCAATTCCCGGGAGGACCCTTCTTAACCTCCTTTTTATAGGTCATCAGCTGCAACAAGAACATCTGCACGCTGCAAATCACGGACACCACGGGATCCCACCAGTTCCCGGCCATGCAGAGGCTCTCCATCTCGAAGGGTCACGCCTTTATCCTGGTCTACTCGGTGTGCTCCAAGCAAAGTTTGGAGGAGCTGCGACCCATCTGGGCGCTCATCAAGGAGCTGAAGGTGGGTCGTTGCAGGAAATATATTTCTTATCCAACTGCTAACACCTCTTGTGTCCTCAGGGAGCCGACATCCCGAATATTCCCGTCATGCTGGTGGGCAACAAGTGTGATGAGACCGCCGAATTGCGTGAGGTTAGAAACATTAGCCAATTTTATCTATCAATACGTTTTGGGGTTGTGAAACTTGGAATGCGCACCTAAAATTGCTTGACAGATTGCTTTGTCTAGTTTGATTTACTAATATATATTAAATATATTTAAGATTAACAAAGATACGATCATTGTCAATCATTCAGATTCGAGTAATGCCATTTTAATATACATTTTTAACTAGATCTTAAATATAGAAAGATTAACTATGTATGAACATTAGGGCGGTCCACATTTGTATGGAAATTTATAAGGTTCTACTCTCACCCGCCTTTACGGTGCGCATTGTGGTATTCAAGGTATACCAAAAGAAAATATTTAAAAAAATCGTGTTTTAGGTTCTGCAAATTGTTTTCAAAGTTTATCACCCATACGCACTGTTGCCTTCGATCAAAAAGTTGTTTTAATCAAGGTGGCTTGATATCTATCAACAATTCTGTTTGCTCTTCCTTTTTTTTACCAATTATTCCAACGAAATTTATAATTTGACAAGACAAGAAATGGGAGAACGACCAAATTCGAACTGTTATACATGTCGTATGAGTAATTTTAAAGCAAACTTTGAAAACGTTTTGCAAAAACTAAATCTCGAAAAAAATGTTTTTTTTTCACATACATTTTTTGCTTACTTTAATATACCGTGTTAAGGGGTGAGAATAGAATTTCATTTTTTGGACCGCCTTAATGTACATATCATAAATAGCTTGACAAAACCATTCCTGATTAATACCCCGACTTCTATGCAGGTCTCCCAAGCGGAGGGCCAGGCTCAGGCGACCACCTGGAGCATATCCTTCATGGAGACGTCGGCCAAGACGAACCACAACGTGACCGAGCTGTTCCAGGAGCTGCTCAACATGGAGAAGACGCGCACCGTCTCCCTGCAACTGGACACCAAGAAGCAGAAGAAACAGAAGAAGGAGAAGAAGTCCAAGGACACGAACGGCTCGATTCCGGAGAACGGAGATGCGGGGGCCAGTGCCAGCGGGGGGGCCAAGGAGAAGTGCCGCGTTATGTAAGCACCGGAATCGGATAGCGATGGATTGGATGGCGAAGGCATGTGACCCGGGTCAGATTGCGTCGAGCTAAAGTGAACGGAGACGGTGACAGACAAATACTCGCCTTGGGGCAGCAGCGTGGGGTGGCCACCCAACCACCCACACGGGCCACGCACCACACACACCCCACAAACCCCACAAACCCCACACACCCACTTACCCACATATAGAGTTACAACCATACGAGACACTTGTATTTAGGAACCGATTTAAGACACACCACCATTGCAATTACGATTACGAGTATATATATTTTTTGCATAGGTTCTATTCGAGCAGATCAGATCTTTCTAGTCGCACAGATACTATAAAAACTATACTAAACACACACCACGGAAGCTAACCCTAAGTTTACACATAATCGCATCTGAAACGTAACGGCATACATATCAAATGTTTACATACTTGCATGATCCACCACCCATTCATAACCAGGTATCAAACGAAGCTAAACACTATATCTCTAACGAAAGCCAAAGTACCTACTTAAAGACATAGAAATCTGTATATCTACTACGATATGATAACAATATTTACATGGATCCATCAACGGAAGACTTTCTCGCGGGTCATCGGTTTCGGGATCTAAATCTGGGCATCCGAGGACCGATGCCTCCCTTGACTATCATTGCTGTTTAACTATTTACCACCTAACCAGAATAATACAGATTTGGATGAGCCCCGATCGCCACATAAGCTAATGTATAAAATACTCATGGCCAACAACAACACAGACAGTCCGGAATTCGAATCCGGAAAACAAACCAACTTCGCGATGGCATTGTGTTTTTGTATTATATTAAATGTGTATGTACAATTTTACACTTATTTGCTGAAATTTATTGACGAGTCGAGAGCAAGAGCATTTTAATATGTATGTAGCAGCAAAACCGAAAGAAAAAAGAAAAGATCAGATCAGAGAGTTAGCCTAAGTCAGAATCACATCAAGATCAAGTACAATTGCATTCGATTCACATTCATCAAGTGAGCCAAGGAACACGTACATCGAAGGATATTTGAAGAGCATTTGGTGCATTTTTGCAGTAGCGTAGATGGGATATAAGTTGCCTGTTTTTAAAACACTTACGTATCGTACTTATGTATTAACATAACTTAACATAAACCAAACCGTTCCCAATTGTGGTATTCGTTATTTTAATAGTTGGTTGGCTTGTGCGTAGGCCTAGGCGTAGGAGTTGAACGAATTGTTTCGCATAGTTTGCTGTTGTTTGATATTAAGAGGATTAGTTTTTTAAATTTTACCAATCAGACTAAGTAAATGATATGCTTAAACCGCTGCTAAACCAATTAGCCAAACGAGTGGCAAGTAATTACATTAATTATGATGTTGCTCATCAAACTGGTATCTTTGGCTGCTGGTCCGCCGTCCAGCAGTGCCGGACAAATAAGTAGAACAGCCAACACAAATCAAGAAGTGGAAGTTACACACTAGACCTAAAAAAAATTGTTGAATTCGAGTAGAGAAATTATTAATCAAGATTATGATAGCGGACCAATTTGCGTATAAGATTTGTGAAATCAATTTAGATAAATTCTCTCGGTTTGCCATAGACCACGGACGATTACGATATGCCAGCCTTAGTTGAGAATTATTGGTAGCCTGCCTGTGCTTTGGGTTTTGCTTCGTGTTTTCCTAGTTTTAGGTACGTTTAATTATAGACAGCAAACTGGGTTTTGGCTATATATTCAGTATGTGCCGTGTATTGGATTGCATTTTCCATACAGTACATTTCACTAATGCGTAAAACTACTTAGTTGCATACAAATTATAATAACGATGAATTGTAATTAAAGCATAATACATTTTAGGTGCATGATTTAAAATACAACGAATAAATATATTTACACCGAAATTCTTTTCTAATTTTTTCTTACAAATATATACACACACCATATAGATCTATATACATAGATATATAAATATATTAGTTGTATACATATTGAATTAGATTTTACAAGATTCGAAAGCCGAATATTTAATTATCGCTTACATTCAATTAATATGCAACTCACAAAGAGCGCCCACTGCTAATAATATAAAATTAAAAGATAATCGCCTGAGCGCCAAGTTGTAAATATAAAGGATCAACAAGTTACATAGAAATTATATCCGATTTTTTGAAGGGCCGGCAGCGTAATAATAACAAGCAAAATATAAACAGTTTGGTGGCCTACTTAAAAGATCTTATTGTTGAAGATTTATCTTAATAACACTTATCGTGCAAATGAGAATAAGAACATGCAAAATAATTTAAATAAAAATTTAACTATGACAAATCAACCAAGAAAAATGTGAATTATTTGCCGAGCATAAACGGACTCTAATTGACTGGGTAAAAATCACGGACATGTTAACACTAAAAATACAAATTAAATAAATAGCCGGCCGCTACACATTATCGATATCATCATCTTCGTGATCGTCGACCAGCGTGAATCCTTCCTCCTCAGGAACGCTGCTCCTGCTTCTGCTGCTGCTGGAATCGCTCACATTTAGACTATCCTTTTTCTCAGGAATGCTGGTCCTGCTTCTGCTGCTACTGGAATCGCTCACATCTAGACTGTCTTTTTTCTCTGGTGTCGTTGGAGCTTCTAGCGCTTCTACTAGCTCCTGGACCCCCGAAACGGCGGGTGGACGTTGAGTTTGCTGTGACTGTTGCAGCATTGTTGTTGTGACATTTAACAGCATCTTTAAATTGTCGCCGGATATGCAATCTTGGGCGGGTTCCCGGGCACCAATAGACTGCTGGGCCATCGGTGCGGCGACCGGGGTTGGATTGTTGTGGATAAGGGAAGCCCAGGCTTTGGGGCTGATGATGTATTTGAAAGTTAGCTTTATAATGTAGCCCACCAAAGCCACCAGAAGAAGAGGGGCCAAAAGATTGTAGGGGAATGACAATCCAGCTAAGGGGAAATATTGTTATCTATGTTTCAATTATAAGGGGTAGCTCTCAAGCGTTTCTGTTAATTTAAAAACATTTGAAAGCTACAATAAACATAAAAACTTACCGGACAGTTTGGTCATGGTTGCCGATACCTTTTCCAGCAACATTTCTAATTGCTTGATAAACAAGTCATTCATATACATAAAGAACACATGATCTGGCATGCAGATTGAAAGGTTGAGCTTGGAGGATTTTCTAAAATATTTCGGTCATTAGAGGTTTATCCATTTCACCTATTATATACTTACCTCAGCATCTCTATTTGCTTTTCCTGTGGCGAGGCGTTCATCACATAGCCCTTTAGTCGAGCAAACCAGGATGATTCCGCGTAGCTCTTTGGTTCCTGGTGATGTTTCATGACCTCCATCATAGCTTCGACATCTAGTTTCTAAATATAAACAAATAATGAGGACAATTTCCCTTGTTTACTTGTGAGATACCTACTCTGTTGCACTCTAAGTAAGTGTGAATATATCCGCACAGGAAAATACCTCCCAGAACAATTGAAATTGCCCGGAAACGGAAACGTTTGTGCACAATGCAACCAAGTATGATGGCTAGTGTTGCAAATAGGATGAATTGCACCTGGGGATGGGAAAAACAAGTAATTAGCGCAATGTCGGGTTTCCATAGAAGGCGCAACAGGTACCTCGGTTATTTTCGTCAGCGCTACGATGTCCTTGAATATATCCACCAATAAGGAGAAAACACCTTGACGGGCATAGGAGCATCCGGACATGCCCTCAAACAAGGGAGCCTCCTCCGCTGACTCCAATATCTTCGTGAGCAATATGTCCAGATCCCGGGCATCCTGCACCTTTTCCAGCTCCTCCAGTTGCGATGGCAGCAGCGAGAAGAGCAACGATCGCTTGTGGAGCGCCGATTCAGCATCGTACTATTTACACAAAAGTTACATCCATGACGTCATGTCTCCAAATATGGTCTAAACTAGCGATCTTACCTGCAAACGCTTGCGTTGGAACAGCAAATTGACGAACTTTCTGAAGTATGTGAGGGCCAGGGCATCTTCTACGGCTGCCGGAGACCGCTCCGGGATAGCAGGACACTGGCAGGATCCATCCGGATGATTGAAATCCTGAACCAAGTCAGCCCAGGCGGGATGCGGATCCACCCAGTACTCATCGCTGCCGCTCTGGCAGCACACGCTGTGGAATACCAGCAGGAAGCAACTGACCGCTGCCTGCGTCCTCATTGTCCTGGGTCCTTTTGCGGGTGACTTTAAGTAAATATCGCCGCTGTTGTTTAATGTAATTGAGTTGCGGAATGGCGCGGTAACAAAGCGGTAAGTGCAAATTGACAGGGTGGCCAAGTCCAAGTGGCGATAGTGCTGCGAGGCTAATTCACCGATTTCCCGTTAGATTTAGCTAGCTAAAAAAAGTGTTAAAAATTAATTAATTAAATAAGAAAAGCTGGAGATTCGACTATTTGTTAATTCTGTAACTCCCTAGTATTGTTTAAAATAAAAATTAATCAAATTTAATAGTTAATCAAATGGATAGAATTTTTAATTGAATTCTTTAAGCTTTTTTATAGCTAAACAGTTTGCTCGAGCAGCTTTTGGCGATCTGGCAACACTGCTCGTTGAGAATAACTGTTTAGCCAGGTCAGCGCATTGAAAATTGCATGTGCCTTAAAACCGGATAAAAGCCACGAGAAAAATGGTTAGGTCAGCACCGGTGGTTGCAGTCGTTGCGCTTTTCCTGCTGGTCGCGTCGCAGGGCGTGGATGCCGACAAGAAGCAGAGCAAGAAGTACAGCAAAGAGGCAAACGACCCGCATTTCCAGCAAGTGAAGGAGGAGAAGTATGACCCGGATTTCAGAACTATCCAGCGGCCCTTTCGCATGGCCAAATTAAATCTGGTGTGGGCCAAGGCTCAGAATGTAAGTGCGGATATATTCATCTCAAAACCATGTATAATAATATCCCTGTTACAGCGCCTAACAGAACCCAAGCTCAAGTCGCTCTACATGGAGCTGAAGATCCACGACAAGGAGGAGATAGCCTGGAAGCAGCTCAATTCGCAGCACAAGGACAAGGATGGCCTCAAGGACGACGAGCTGCGACGCAAGCTGATTGGCATTATGAGCAGCTACGATCTGCTGGAGCACTTTGACGACACCCAGGACTCGGACAAGCTAAAGCCCTATAAGGTATGTAAATTCCCAATCCTTAAGAGCAATAAGTTCTACATATTCTGGCTGCCTTTCAGAAATTCCACGACGCCAATGATCGTTATAAAAACAAGAGCCTTTTCAAGGACAAGAAACTCGTCCGGCTGTGGGAAAAGGCAGAGCTTTCCGGCTTTACTGCTGAGGAATTGAAATCCCTGAAGCAGGAGTTTGATCATCACCAGGATAAAGTCGATGTCTACTACAGCTTGCTGGAAAATATTGGCACCGTGGATACCGACAAGCATGAGAGTGAGAGAGTGTCAAATAAATAATGAAAATCATGTTATATTTTATATGTTTTCCCTTAAGATGCCATAAATACTGAAGATCTGGACAACTACAATCTGATCTCGAATGATGCCAACGAAAATGAGATAAAAACACACGCACAAAATGTTAAGAGTTTCGAAAACGATCTCAACACCCTTCGAGGCCATCATGCCGGAATCAAGGATCATTACGACAGACTGGAACGCCTGGTATCCTCCGGCCCGCACAGTCAGGACTTTGTCGAGCCCAAAGTTCAGGGTCTGTGGCGCGTGGCTCAGTCTAGCAATTTTACGGAAAAGGAACTGGAGTCCATAAAGACCGAATTGCATCACTTCGAGAGCCGACTATTAAAGCTGCGTCACCTGCATGCCGAGCATGCTTTACATAAGGAGAAATACAAGGTATAAGTGTGTGAAATTCTGTAACAGTTCATGGGCTAACTATTTTAATGAAACTTGCAGGGCGAAAAACACAAGGACAAGAGCAACCGCTTTGAGGACATGGAGGATCAGCTTAAAAAGCAGACTCGCAAGGTGGAGAAGCTACAGGAGAACATTGAAAAAACCATCTTCAAGCACACAGAACTTTAAAAATTGAAGCAATCACTGAACGTGCCAAGCGAATAAATTAGATTTAGTTGCAACTGTTTGTGTAAGGCACAAAAACATTCAAGCTGCTATTCAGCATATCATATGTATAGTTTTGATACCAAATATCATTTGAATGAAAATAAAATCTCATGAAGTTTAGATTTTTCGCAGAATGTTAATTTTCTAATTATTAAATTTTTTTTCATTTATTTTGAGCTAATCTTTTTAAGCATACACAAATTTATAAATTAGATAATTTTTAAATTTAATTTAGTATTTAAAAAAGATTTTAATAAATTTTACCGGTTTTTAGTAGTAAGGTGAAAAGTTAACCGTTAAATACCAGTGATGTTTTCAGTATGACCATACTAGAGCTGGCCTGAAACGCGTACCTTTCTCCACCCAGTAGGACCGCACCTAGTATGACCGCCCGCCAGTCGCATTCTTGTTGTTGTCTGTTTCGTGGGCCAAAAAAAAAATAATAAAAGATTTACTTAGCGAAAAGTATTCAATATATATGTGCAGCGGCCAGTGCAAGTGCTAAATGGGTACATAGTGCATATGTACACACAGCGACATGGGCATGGTGGAGGCGACGACGTCCGAGCTGCGCCTGGAGGCCCCCAATTCGTACACGTACCTCCTGGCGACCCTCAGCCTGACGCTCACTTTCATCGTGATGCTGGGGGCTTGTCTGTGCTGCAAGAAGCGCATCCCCAAGTGAGTTCCTGCTCCTGGTCGTTCTAAGGATCTGAAGCGCCTTTCCCAGGCATCCCGTCTGGCGGCGGGAACAGGGCGGTGCTGGCCAACGAGAGAGAGAGTGAAAGTGGGTCTCTTTCTCCGCCGCTACGCCGCCCAGTTCCAGTTGGATGCACCCATGTCACTAATCGCACTCTCTAAACTCTCTAAACCCCCCCAGAAATGACTTGATGGGCCTGGAGGGCATGGTCAAGCTGAAGAATCCCGACGAGGTAATCGTGGTCACCAATCTGGTGGGAAACAGCGAGTCCCAGGCGGAGCTGAATGCCTCCACGGTCTCCAATGCAGACTCGGAAAAGCGGTGGGTATTCATTACTCCATTCCTCTGTTTAAAACATAACTTAACTTTGAATCCTTCTCAGATCAAGCACCGCCGCCCATCGCAGTTTGCCCGACATTCCCGTGGCCGAGAGCAATGATAATGGGTCCGAACTATACGAAACCGTGGCGGACAAGCAGCTGGTCGATGCTCGCAATGCCCGCAGCCAAAGTCGTAAGTGGTACTCCAACTCGTAGGAATCATTTAATACATCTCCTGCTTCCAACAGCCCAGCCCAGCATGAAGAAACAGACGAGCGTATCGCAGCACAGCTCCATTAGCCAGGCGGATGATGTCAGCTCGCCGTATTCGCGTGTCAAAGGTCTGCCGCACGACTACGCCAAGGTGCGGGGAACCGAGCATCCCTATGCCCAGCTGAATGCCCCGTCCACGTCGCATGCGGCCAACCATGGATCTGCGGCAGCTGCTGCGGCGGCGGCAGTGGTGGCCGGATCCTCCAGCGACGGCATTGATCCCATGCATCGCAGCTCGCAGCATAGCGAGGGCTCAAGGGAGCACAATGATTCGGCGCCGGCACAGGCTGAGATACCCGCCGCCTCCGCGATCGCAGGCATGATTTCGGCTAGCCAAGATCTTCCCTACATGACGCCGCCCATTGCCAACCAGCATTTCAGCGGCGACTCGCAGGACTCATCGAGTAAGTTTGTGGCACGCGAGGTGATGTCATATAGCTAAGTACTTTATTCCACAGAGGGATACACGAGCATTAGTGTAAGGGAACCGCTGGCCAACATTCTGGCGCAGCAACCACAGGGGAAACCGACGAATAGGAACCCCAATTTATCGCGGGATGTGAACGACTCGCACTACGCCACCGTATCGGACGATTCTGGTGAGTCAGGGGAGAAATAACACAATTCCTTTGGGTAATTTTAAATTGGTTTTAATTATCTTGGGATTTTTTATTTCATTTATATGCATGTATAGTAAAACAAATTCAAGATTGTGTTTCCATTTGTCATCAAACACTTTAATTGTATAATATTTTACAATTTCAAATTTGTTCTAATCATCTTGGGAATAATTATTTCATTTATTTGTATGTATAAATTCAAGATTGTGTTTCCATTTGTCATCAAACACTTTAATTGTACAATATTTTACGATAAGAAACCGAAACATATGTTTTATATTTTCAATGCATAAATATTTATGTTGATCGATTGATAACAATAATTAGATTATATTTAGAGCCCTGCATGAATGGATTCAATGAATTATTTTGAATTTTTTGTTTTATATGAATAAATTAATTAGAATTTTGAGTTTAATAGAATTGAATGAATTTGAATTTTGAGTTTTATAGAATTAAATGAATGAATGGCATGAATTCCGAAATAATTCAAACGACAATTTCTTTTGAAGAAGAAAGGGCTATAATTTTGTGATTAAATCTGCATGAATTTTATTTTTTAAGCAGTTAAAATTGATTTGTTAAAAATGTTCCACTTTTTGTTCTCAAGAAAAAGCACACAAAAAATCTGACAAATTCAAAAAATTCATAAAAATTATTTATTCATTCATTCAATTCGAAATGAATTAGAAAATTTAATTTATTTCACATAGAATTGAATTAAACAAATCAGAAATTTCATGGCATACAAAAACAAAATTGAATGATTCACGCAGGGCTCTAATTATATTCAAAGTTTACATTTTTAATAAAATATTGTTAACATATTCCAGATGAAACGTATGCGGCCATTGAAGATCCCAATAATCGGCACCAGGCCAATGCCGCGGATATTTACACGAGCGGATCGGAGACCTACGCACAAATCCAGCCCATGCAGGCAAATCCCATAGTAGTGGCCGTTGAAATCAATAACAGCAGCAGTCTTTCGACTGCTAGTACGTCCTCTGTCATGGTTGGTGGCGGGAACAGCATACATAGGCCAACGAGCAGCAGTGGTGCTGATCATGGCATGCCTGTTCCGCCGCCGGTGGACAGCTTGCGAGCCCAGATGCACTCGCGCCAGGCTTCGTCCTCGTCGAACAACAGCACATCTGTCTGCAATCTGGGCTCCCCGAAGCCAGAGAAGCGCCAGGCGAACTCGCCACTGCCACCGACGCCCAAGGCAAGTGTGGGTCAGTCGCACCATCTGCACGCCGGCAGCATTAGTAACCTGGCCTCTGGGCGAAACTCTGTCATATCGGTGATCGAAGCGAGTGGCGAGGGTCATGAGGCGGAATCTGGAGAGGCATCGCCGCAGCGCAAGCACAGCAAGAGTCTCAGTCCCTCCAAGGAAGGCGAGAGCAACAAGAACATTGAGGGCATGTACGCTAAGGTGAGAGGAACTCCTCTTGGAATCCAAAACCAAAACTAATCCATTTCGAATCCTTGCAGGTCATGAAAAAGCACAAATTCTCGCGCAACTCTCCGTCCTCGCAGAACAGCTCGCCCATTCTGGCCAGAAAGCAGCAGCAGCAGGACGCCTTGGGTGTCAGTCCGCTGGACAGTGCGGCTGCCTTATTAGTGGATGCCCAGAAGGGCGGTCGTGGACGAAGCAATAGCTATTCGGCCAAGAATCATGGCTACGAAACGATTCCAGCCGATGGCCAGGTGATGCACGAGAACCGAAAGTCGGATTGCTATGCAGCCAACATGTTGCAAAAGGAACGACAGCAGGAAGGAGGAGGTAAGTCAACAGTCCCTCTCAGCCCCTATTTAACCATCCCTGCTCAATGATTTCTGGGTATTTTACCCCGGCTTTGTCGTTGATCCCTGCCTAATGCCTAATCTACCTGTCTATCTATCTGTCTCTCCTTGTCTCTCCTCCAAAAAATGCCTTCCCAAATATTAGTTGCTATGCCAAAATGAGAAATTTCCGTGTTTGTTCAACTCAAACAGCGAAAATTTCATGAGTTTTTCTTTGGAAGTTGCAGCCGTGGTTAGTATATCGTCTGCAGTGAAGATCCATTAATTCTTTTTCATGAATCCAAGTAAATAAGCTGCTTCAAGGCTGTTGACTAATGAACTTTTATTTCCGCCATTTCAGCGATTGCCCAGCCCGTCACGATAGCAACAGCAATTGCGATCAGCGCCAGCACAAAGCACTACGAGACTATTCTTAACCAGCCACAGCCGCCGCCTCCGCCGACGCCTCCGTCCAACAGCAACAACGATCCAGGCTACGAGCAACTGCAACTGCACCCCGTTCCGGCAGCCGAGGATGAGGCCAAGAAATCGGACTACGATCCCAACTACGAGGTGCTCAAGAGTCGCGCCCACTCGGACGACGGCTATGCCAAGGTGCTGGAGAAGAAGCGCCCGCCCGCCACCGCTGATGCCTCCGGCTACAGCACAATTCCCGGGGCGGATGCCAACCACAACTATGCCAGCATCCTGGAGACGAAGGCCGCCGCTGCGGAGACGGATCACTATGCGCGGATAGCGGAAAACGCGGTGGCGGGAACACCGGGCAGCCTCACATCTCCCAGTTCCACATCCACTAGCGTATCGCTAAACTCCTCGACGGTGGCCACCAGCACGCCGCTGTCCTCGCAATACGAATCGCTGACGGGAACGGGCAGTGAAACGGATCCCAACTACGAGTCGGTTTGCTATTTGACCACGGCGGCCAATACAGCGACGACAGCAACAACGACGACGACGAGCAGTGCGATGGAGCCGGGCTACGAGCCGCTGCAGGCTGATCAGGATTCGGACACGCAGGCGAGCAGTCCGCTGAGTGGGGCAGCCTCCACGCCAAGCGAGCAGTTGCTGGTGGACGACTACTTTCACGTGTAGTGAGCTGGATCTCCCCCCTCATCAGTTTTTGCTAAGCAATTTTTCACGCACATATCATCATCCATTCACGCTTACATCGTAGTTAGGAAGGGCGCTCGCCAAGCGACAGTCTTAGATTGCATTGCAGTGGGTTCAGTGACCCACAATCCCATCCCATAATGGCACAGCTTCATATCGGTTTGCCCCTTTAGAATATAGCGTAGCTTTAGGTTGACAAACTATTGTGTACAAACTATTTGTATGACCGGCTCGGCTCGGCTGGGTAATCGCTCCAAGTATCTACTCCATTATTATTATTCTATCTCAGTACCAGTGCGTCCTATTTTAGGTAAATTGAATGCAGGGGTCTCACTTGACGCGCCACTAGTTTAAATTGATATTTAGATGGCGGGCAGGATGACTTACCTTCTATACATATATATGTATATTATATATATTTTTATATGTTTTGGCGTTTTTGCTGCTTTTTACTTTACTGAGGTCCGGTATAGGCGTAGTATATACACGTATTTACACACACAATACCCACGAGAAGGCAAGCCAAGTATTTGTATTTGATAAATGTTAATGGAACACTTCCAAGTATTCAACCATCAAGAAACTAAGATAAAAAGTTCAATAAATTATTGATGACACAACGCGGTTGCTATTTTCGATATCTGTAGGTATACAATTATGTTTATTTATATTGCATATGTATGGAGATGTATATCTGCTTACGGGTTGCAACAAGGCGGATCAATATGTTTTGATAAGAGGGTTTTCACCAGGACAGACTCTAAATCAATTCTAAATCACAAATAATTATCTTCAAGGCTAAACAACGTGAGAACAAAGAACTAATTAGTTGTTCAATGAACTTTCTTTGTTTTCGGCAAACGAATCTTATCCTCAGCGGATCTACATTTGATAAGGTTTCGAGTCTGTCCCGGTGGAGCACCCTTTTCAGAGTTGTACTAATTATAGATCGGTTGCAGAAGTCTTATACTCTGGTTTTACATTGTTTTAACTATGGTTTTAACTAATTTCATATAACTTTAACTAGAACAGAGACGTTTTAAAAATACTAACATAGAAGGGGTAACGGGAATACACTTGCAACCACATCGAGCACATATAATGGAGATTATCTGATTGGGTAAATGCCTGCTGGCAGTCCATCGCGACCCATAAGCCGCGTCACCCAGACGTAGATGAGGCCGCACACCACGAACTGCAGGAATATAAACTGGTAGTCGAAGATCAAGCTACACCTGTGAAATGTTAACAATGAAACGCGCCCGACAAGCGCCGACCAAGCAGCCGCTTCCACGTCTCATTCGTTGTTGTCGTCAGCCATCGGGATAACAGCAGCGGGCGCCGCCGCCAGTGCCGCCGGAAGATTGGGTTGCACCGGCTGCACCGGAACAGCCATTCCCATGGGTTCCCGATTGAGCAGCGCTATGTTGCTGGCCTTCATCCGGGCTACGGAGGAGGAGGAGGCCAGTCCAGAGCCGTTGCCCATAGCTGATAGACACGGTGACATACAAGGAGTTGTGCATGATGAATTGCTGATTTCACACTGGTCAAGTAGGCGGAGAAGCTCGTTGGTGTCGGGTCCGCCGTTGGTTTTCTGCTGCGGCTCATCCTTGGAGAGCAGCGCCAAAGCGGTGGTGAGGTCCCACATCTGGATGGCGCCGTTGCAGTGACCGGTGAGTATGAAACGTGAGCCCATGCGCGACGATACCTCGCACTCGTGCACACAGAAGGCCGAAATGGTGGAGCTGTCCACGGATCGGATGACGCACACGCGATCCCCGTTGGAGGCCAGGCGCACATACAGCTGATCCGTCTCCGGAACCACTTTCTGCACGAATATCATGTCGTCGTAATCGCCGTAGGGCCCAAAATCATTGCCAGCCGCATAGCTGTAGCTCGTGTCGGTGGCCTCCAGCGAGACGATCTTAAAGGAGGCCTCCGGCGTGGAGCCCGGCTGCGTGGAGAGCATTCCCCGGAAGCGAGTCAGACTCCAGGTGCGCACGTGATGGTACTCGCTGCACACGGAGACAAGGTACTTCTCCGACAGCATCACCTTCGTCACGGGACTCTGGTGGACAAAGAAGGTCTCGAAGAGATGTGGCCCGTGGCCAGCTGTCTCCGGATGCTGTACGATGATCCGCACGGCGCCCGACTTGGTGCCGTAGGCAATCTCGATCCAATTGCCACTGATGCTGGAGGTTTTTGGTGTTAAGTACACCGAAATGGCCGTGATTGGATCCAAAGTGACATCCTTGTAGAGCTCGGTGACCAGCAGATCGTTGTCCTTCATCCGCAGCGGGAACTTCTGCATGTCTATGTAGTAGATGGACCCATTGTTGCAGCCCAGCAGAAGGAACGAGCCGGCCGAGTCGAAGGAGAGCACGGGCACCAGATCCTGGATCTGCCAGTGCTGCGTCATCGCGTGCCAAACGCCGATCTTGCCGGACGAGGACAGGGCCACCAGCTGGCTGCCGATGAAGAACAGGTACTCCACCCGCACATTCAGATTAAAGGTGCCCACATCCGTTTTCTGGCCTCCCTCCTGGATGCTCCACAAGCGGATTTGACTGCCGTAAGAGATGGCTACCATCTTGCTGGGCACCGGTTCCGCCGCCGAGGTGTTCACCTTCGAGTTAATGGCGATCCTTTCGATGGTCGCCTCAATATGCGGCGATGTGAAGACCTGCTGCCACCCATTTGAGTCCTTGACGCGGTAGCAGGTCACAAAGTGAGCGTAGGCCACTGCTATCCAGTTCTGGTGCGCCTTGATGATCTGCACCCGCATCGGATCCACCCAGTTGGAGTTCTGAGTGGGGCTAAAGACCAGGCCCACTTCATTGCGAAACGCCTTGTTCAGATCCGCCGAGGAGTTGCGCGAGTGCCGCATAAAGTCCATCGATGGTTGGCGTGAGTGCAGCATGGGAGCTGGCGGATTGGGTCCACCGCTGCTTCCTGTGCGACCCAATCGCAGATCCCACGAAGAGTTCCGCGAGTGTGAGGAGCGCGAGGGCTCGGGGACGCGCACCATGGAGCCGGGACGGGCTGACGAGCTGGAGGGCAGCGGCTCATCAACCACAGCGGCGGCGGCAGCTGGCAAGGCTTCATTTGAGGGCATGGGCGGGGCAGCCAGGAAGCCGTAGAAGAGCACATCGCCGCAGGACGAGTGATTGAGGTCCTCGCAGAGCGCCAGGCGCTTGGTCAGCGGCGTAACGCCATAGTACTCGGCCTCGTGCCGCAGGGCGCGTATCTCGCAGTTCTTGATGTCGATGTCCTTGGTCCTCAGGTAGTTGAGGATGATCGAAAAGAGCGTGGGATCGCGGTCAATGAAGATGGCATTGTGCTCGTCCCGCAGGCTAGAGATGCGTCCGCTTAGGAGGGCCGTGAAGAAGGTGTCCGGGATCCACGTAAGCGTTTGCCGCGACGTGGAAAAGCTACGGAAGGTGAGATGGAGATTGCATGCGTCATCAGTTGGCCCAGTTGGGGTGCTTAGCTTAGCTTTGTTCTTACCGCTGACCACCCACATTCAGGTTGACCAGGTCGCTGCTGGTCGAGTGCGTGAAGTAGGACATGGCAATCCGATGATCCGATGACCCGTATCCGCGTGCCGCCGCAGCAGCGGACGGACTGGTTGTGCGCTGCTCCAAATGCGCCTCTATTTGTGTGGCTTCCGTGCTCCCAGCGCTCCGGCGAGCGACTGATACGGCGGACGCAGTGGAGGCAGCCGCACCAGCGAAGCAGATAACCCGCGATTTCGGTACCCAGCCCACTTGACGCGCTGCGGGGTGCAATTTATTCGTTTAACTCTCGGCGCTGCCTATTTATTTACTTGTTATTTGTTGCACTGCACTGTGGAAGTGGAAACTAGGGATGGGCACGTCGATCGTGACTGTGACCTGGTCGTGATCAGGTGCACTTGATGCTTCGTGTGTGGGTCACTACTTTTGTAGGGGAGTTACCTTACACAAAATTTAAATTAAACATTTTTAATTATATAGCCAGCCTTATATTTTTGTAAACTAGTTGTTTATAAAGATATTTTATATTACCACTTTTGATTAAAATTGTTCCTAAAGTTTTGTTTCAAATTGTTTGATTCTTCTGCTTACGTTAAAAAACATAACCGTTGTCTTAAGAATTTCTATATTTTATTTTATTAATTTGTTATTAATCACCTCAATTCGTGATTTATTTATTTGATTAAGATTGTTCCTAAAGATATGTTACAAATTGATTGATTCTTCTGCTTACGTTAAAAAACACAACCTTTGTCTGAAGAATTGCTACATTTTACGTTATTAACTTTTTTTAATAGCCACCGTTATTAATCACGCCATTTCGTGATTTACAAATGTCCATCTCTAACTTTCTTCCAAAATTCCCCGGACATACGGTCACACCACAATTTGCTGAAACAACGGTACCTTCCGTTTGGCGGCTAATTTCAAATGATATCAAAGTAATGCCTTCAAAAATTAATTTACCGTAGAGCTCATGGATCTCAGTGTCTACACTTAGCCTTGGGAACTGAGCCTTAAATTAGTTTCGGAAAACACAACACAAAATTGAAGATAGGACACAATGCCAAAGTGCAGTTGCTTAAAAAAGGAGGCTCGCGTCCATGTCATCTACGTGGGAGGAACTATCGGAATGATCCGCAATGAGTCGGGAGGTGGGTGAATCTATAGCTATAATCTCTGGTACAATCCCCTCCTCTTCCATTAGTACTGCAAACCGTGCCGAAGATGTTGGCCGAGCGGCTCCAGGAGTTTCCCAGCTGCCACGACAGGAGCTACAAGAATGATGATGGGTGCTTTATGGCCCTACCCGCAGTGGCCGATGCTCCCTATCGAGTACTCTACGACCTGGTCGAGTTCTGTCCCCTGATGGACTCCAGTTGCATGGGCATCTGCGACTGGCAGCGCATGGCTAACGAAGTGGGGGTAAGATTTGGGTTTCAAAACGATCTAAACCAAGTTTTTATTAATTTCGTTATTCCAGAAAAACTACAAATCCTATGATGGCTTTGTAATCCTCCATGGAACCGATACCCTGGCCTATTCCGCCTCGGCACTATCCTTTATGCTGGAGAACCTCAATAAACCGGTGGTGCTCACTGGGGCCCAGATACCGATCTTCGAGGCCCGAAGCGATGGTCGGGAGAACTTCTTGGGCGCACTCCTGATTGCCGGTAACTACAACATACCCGAGGTGCTCGTCTTCTTCGGCAACAAGATCCTGCGTGGCTGTCGCTCCACCAAGATCAACTCGGACTCCTTCCATGCTCTGGATTCACCAAATCTGCCTCCTTTGGGCCGTGCGGGTGTGAACATTGAGATCAACAGCCGCCAAATCTTCAGGCCTTGCAATGTTAATCCCTTCAATCTCCACCCTGAGCTCGACAAGAACGTGGCTCTGCTGCGGATTTACCCGGGAATAAGTGCCAGTGTGGTGCAGGCCTTTCTCAAGGATCCCATTAAAGGCGTGGTCCTTCAGACCTTTGGGGACGGCAACTTCCCGGTGAATCGCGAGGATCTGCTCGACGAACTGAGGGAGGCGGTCCACCGATGCGTTATTATCGTAAACATTACCCAGTGCTCGGCGGGAATGGTCACGAACTCCTACGAGACAAGCCGCGCGCTGCTCGAGGTGGGCGTGATACCCGGCTACGACATGACCCAGGAGGCTGCCTTTACCAAGCTGGCCTATGTGCTGGCCAAACCCGAATGGGATGTGGCCAACAAGAAGAAGGTGCTGCAGCTGAGCCTGCGCGGCGAGCTGACCACCAACAAGGTGGCCAAGATCAATGACATTGACCTGATCGAGGGCGTGGCCCGCACTTTACACATGTCCACGGCGCTGGAACGGCAGCAGATGTGCTCCACCTTCTATCCCGCTTTGGTGGCGGCCGCGGTCACCGAAGGTGATGTCCACAAGTTGGGCGATCTCAAGCAGTACGGCGCCAATCTGTGCGACACCAACTGCGATGGACGCTCCGCCCTGCACTTGGCCAGCTTCCTGGGCAAGCTGAACTGCGTCTGCTACCTCATCGCGTCGGGTTGTCCGGTGAATGTCCACGATCGTTTCAATCGCACGCCATTGCACGAGGCCATCGACACGGACAACCATGATATTATCAAGGCGCTGCTCAAAAACGGGGCCAAGCTAAACGATCAGCCGCTGGTCCAGGCGGAGCTGCTGCGTGCCCTCACGGAGCGGGGTAAGATCAAGCGATTGGAGTCCTTCCGTTTGGCGGGGGCCAATCTCACGCTGGCCGATCGAACGGGACGGACGGCGCTGCACTACGCCTGCCAGCTGGGCAACCACGAGGTGGTGGAGTATCTGCTGCCGCACTACAAGAATCCGTATCTCAAGGATGAACTGGGCATGTCACCCATCGATTACGCCAAGGCAGCCAATCATGACCACATCCTGACACTGCTGCGGTTCCGGGAGAAAGAGTTGGCCCAAGAGGATCCTTGCTCCTGTTCAAATTAGAAAACAATATTAAACCCATGCTCCGAAATTCCAAATTAAAAAGATTACTCAACCGCTTTTGTCAAATTTCAAATATTATTAGCTTATACCTTGTGTATATATATAAGTATGTATATTTAGTGGTTTGTCCAAGTCAAGGGCGACGACATTATTAGCTTGCATAGGTAACACATTAAAATCAATCTCTCTACATAGTATAGTCGCACGTCAAGGACGCGCTTAAATTTTTGTTAGTAAAACAATACACTCTCTGATGTTCGTATATTTCATATAGTTGAATATAGAATATAGTATGCAGTATTTATGTGGTTATTTTTTTTGATCCGTACAGCGAGAAAAGGCCTACGAAAGTGAACCGCCTTCGGGAGAAAACAAACGGGCAAACAAATATAAATTAAATGTTAGGCAATAAACAAAAAAACAAAATACTTAATTCACACGCAGTTATCGGATAATGTCATCTATGCAATAGTTATGGTTTTGCGTTCACCTAGGCCTAGGCTACAGACTTAAATTATAAATGATTTGCATAATTCGAATACTCGGCCCGTAGACAAACTAAATACTAAACTGTTCATCAACTTACTGGACTAAAATGACACATGGCTTTTGTTTGTTTCTGTTTCTATTTCTCGTTTACGTTTGAGCTACGAAATTTGTTCTACAACATTTAGACATGAAATATTGCTTGGTATTTTACGCTTGGTAAAGGCTTTTGATTTTGTATCTTGTCCGTGTGCTGTTCTCAGTAGAATTCGCATAGATTCGCATGAATATATATAGTGTGCTGTATTTCGTTTCGTTTAAATGTAGAGTTATGTTATGTGTTTACTATACTCGTATATTCATAGGTTAGTTTGCTGAAGCATTGGCTGCCGCTAATCTAGTTTGTTGTTAATACTTAGAATTGCTTTCTTCGAATTGTTGTTAGTCAGGGGCCGACTCGCTCGCCTGGGTGTAAATCTCTCATTAATATCTATGGCTTACACGTAATCTATGTTAATTGATGTAATTTTAAAATCTCTACTAATCTACATTACAAAATTGTTCTTCACTGGGTTCGAGAGGACTCATTTGCTCCTCCTTCGTTTACAACACTTTGACGTACAAACAAATGCATTGCGGATTAAAGGTGTTCCTCCTTTCAGTTTATCATTCGTTGTGACATAAATGGGGTAAAGTTTCAGTGTTTTTTTTTTGCATTGATTTATCCGTTTTATGCTCAGTTAAAAAGTGAAAACTTTGCGTGTGAGTTCGTGTTAAACTAAATTGCACATTGAGTTAAATTTTGAACGCAAGAATAATTAGTTATTATTTACATACAATTAATTGTATTATAGTGTGTGTTTGTTTGTTTGTTGGTTTCTTTCGAATATTTACAGCAACACGTGAGATGTGCGAGAGATTTGAGAGCTTGGCCTTAACGTCTTAAGATATAGCTAAGGATGGGACCGTGGTCGAGCTGCCGAAGTTGGTTATCTAGTTGACCATCAGCGTGTGTGATTCCATGGGCGCCGCCGAGTCGTAGAGCGTGTCCGTGTCCTGAGTGGGCTCGCCCTGCAGTTGACACTGGTTGGACAGGGTGCCAGCACCGCAGTCGCAAAAGAAGCTGTTGAATAAACCAGGATTTATTATTATCAGTTTTATTAGGGGCAAGAAATTAGGCAATGTATTTGGTTAGACCGAAGACTGATAAATAGACCTCGGATTTTGCATATTTTTATAGGATAAAGATAGATCAATTCCGAAAACACCAAAGTTCGTTTCAATAAAAACATAGTTTAAAATTATTGGCATTTATTTATTTATTTTTTGCATATTTGCATAAAATGCATATTCATAAAATATGCAAAATATAAAATAAACTCAACTATTCAAGATTGACTATTTCGTAGCCAACCTAATTTACCCCAAGAAAATTGTTTGTTACTTTTCGTCATATCTGAGATATCTAATTTTTCCGAAATTTAGAAACCCTATTTATATTTTTAACGAGTAGGCGAGAAGAGGCAAAAATAGTAAGAGGGGCAGAATAGTTTTTGGTAAATTTTTTTGGCTAAAATCGGACCAAAAATGGACAAATATGCAAAATCCGAGGTCTACTGATAAATAAGATACTTCCTACATCTATAACACATTAGGGTTTTGCTTCCTACTCACCGATCGTGTCGAATAAACTCTACGTCATGGCCAGCATGACAATTCTTGATGCAATTCACGCAGATGGCGTTGCGGTCGGTTGTGTTGCAGGTCTGGCAGCGGTAGAAGTCGTGCATGGGAAAAGAGGTGTAGCTGCTAATCTTGTACAGGCACTGCCCGCTGGAGACGGCCTTCTCCACCTCGTCCTCGTTGTTGAAGATGTTGTTGCCGCGGGTAATTGGCTGAACGCCGCTGGCCAGGCACAGCCCGCCGAATTTGTTCTTGAATATCTGATTGTGTTCCAGCGTGGCCGTCGCATTGTTGGTTATCTCAACGCCGGCTGCCTGGCCATCGTAGATGCGATTTCGTCGCAGAATTGGGTGCGATTGCGTCGAAATTAGGACACCGGCCTGCGTGTTGCGGAAGATGTCGTTCTCCTCGAGGATGCCCTTGCCGCCGTTGAAGATGCAAATGCCGCCATCGCGGCCGTCATAGATCTTGTTGCGCTTCAGCGTCGGATTGGAGTCAGTTTTAATCCAAACGCCAGCCATGGCGTTGTCGAAGATCTCGTTCTGCTCGAGCAACCCCAGGCCACCGTTGTACACGAGTACTCCTCCATTCTGGCCGCCCCAGATCTTGTTGCCTCTGATTACCGGATTGCTGCCCGTACGGATCTGTACGCCCGAGTACAGGTGGTTGAATATGTCGTTGTCCTCCAACTTCCCGTGACCGTTGTCGTAGAAATAGACTCCCACCTGTTTGCCCGAATGTATGCGGTTGCGACGCAGCACTGGAGTGCTCCCGGTAGTGATCCACACGCCGGCCAGTGTGTTGGAGTACACCTCGTTCTCCTCGATCAGCCCCTGGCCCTTCTCGTGCACATAGATGCCTCCGTGTTGGCCATGGTGGATCTTGTTGTGCCGCACAATGGGATCGCTGTTGGTGCGGATCTGAATCCCGGCCAGCGCATTGCCGTAAATATTGTTGTGCTCTATGAGACCGCGACCCTCGCCAAAGATGTACACGCCACCTTGATGTCCGTTGTAGATCTCGTTCTTACGAATGGTGGGATTGCTGTTTGATGTTATCCAGACACCTTTACAAAAAAGAGTGTGGGTTAGAAGCCAATTAAGATTTACACTTGAAGCCTTTCTTACCTGCAAAGTTATTCGAATGAATTCGGTTCTCGATGAACTGACCAAGTCCATTTTCATGCACATAGATGCCGCCCGTCTGACCATGATGGATTTCACACTTGACCACGGTGGGATTGGCTCCGGCCTTGACCTCGAAGCCAGCTATGCGATTGTTGTGGATGTCATTCTTCTCAAAATAGCCCTAGAAATTAAATTTTAATGGATAAGAAATTAATTTAAGGTCAATAAGTCATATAATAAAATAAAATGGTTTTAAAGTTTTTCTGGCATAACATTAATTTATCTTGAATTAAACTAGTTTACAAAATAATATTCTTGGTGTGCTCCCAAGCAATTGATGCCAAATTCTGTTAGTGTTGGACCCCTAGATCACGAAAATACCACTAATTTTTTTTTTCGATGGCACATTTTTTTTTTTTAAGATTTTTTAAAGTTTGAAATGTTTAATTTCTGACTTTTTTCGAATTTCTTCTTATATCTCGGCAGATATCCACCCGATTGAACCAGTTTTTGTTTTATTTTAAAGTCAATAGATCAGAGCTTAACTTTGCCGTACAGATCAATATGATTGCATAAGTAATGGCAGCGCAACAGCTCGACAAAGATGAAAAATGTGTTTTTTGGTCGAGTAAAAACTCGAAAAAAATCCGTTGAAAAATCAAAATGGGTACCAACTTAAAGTTTACATGTGTTATTTTACTAGTGTTATTTCTTTCTGTTTTTATACCCGTTACTCGTAGAGTAAAAGGGTATATTAGATTCGTGCAAAAGTATGTAACAGCTAGAAGGAAGCGTTTTCGACCCTATAAACTATATATATTCTTGATCGGGATCACTAGCCGAGTCGATCTAGCCATGTCCGTCTGTCCGTCTGTCCGTCTGTATGAACGCTGAGATCTCAGAAACTACAAAAGCTAGAAGGTTGAGATTTCCCACACATATTCTTTGGCTTCCTACGCAGCGCAAGTTTATTTCAGCCGAGCGCCACGCCCCCTCTAACGCCCACAATCGCCCACTAACGATTTTAAAATGGGTCCTGCGCCCACATTTTTAAAGATTTCCGAGAAGTATAAATGCAATTTTGTTGTGTATATTTATACCTATCGAAATGTAGAAGACATTTTTCAAATCGGACCATTCATTAAAAAGTTATACGCAATCAAAATATCTACATATATCTATCTCCCTCGCACCCTCGTAGTCGGGACACCAACCCGAGTACAGCGTTCGTTTTAGCTGAGTGACGGGTATTAAATAGTCGGGACACCAACCCGACTATAGCGTTCTCTCTTGTTTATTATTAATTTTCCTTAAATAAATCTATATTTGCTCAGACTTACCATTCCATTTTCGAAGGTAAAGATGCCCACATCTCGACCGTGGTGTATGTGATTCTCCCGCATAATTGGACTGGCGAAATTCTTCACCCATATGCCTGCCAGGGCGTTCCGGCTGATCTCGTTGTGCTCGTAGGTTCCCTGGGCGTAGTCGGTGACGTAGAGCCCGACATTCTCGCAGTCGCTGATATCGCAGTTGCGGATTACGGGATTGGCATTCACGCCGCCCACGCAGACGGCAGCGCCCACCACCGAGGTGGACCGAATGATGCAGTTGTCCACGGTGGGCGAGCAGTTCTCGCCGATGTCCAGGCAGTAGTGCTTGTGATGCGACACAGTCGAAGTGACTTCCGGCGAGAACTTGAGCGTGAGGTAGCCCACGTAGGAGTACTTGGCTCCCTCGACGAACATCACCGTGGATCCGGCCTCTCGTTCGAGGA